ACAGTCGATTATTCGGAAGCTTGATATAAGGCGATTTAATTTTTATTTTAGTAGATAAAAAAATATTCTAGTAAGTAAGAAATATAGTCTATGTTACACAGCGATAAATTATCATTGTAATGGCAAAAATATTTTTGAAATCAGTTGAGTAGTTTTTGAGTTTATTTGTTACATACAAAAACATAAATCTTTCGTCTTTATATACTAGGTGTCGCCCGCGATCTTTTACTTCCAGACTATGTCTACATCCATGCCAAATTTCAAAGAGATCCATTAAACCGTTCTAGAGATACCTTCGAACAAACATCTATCCGTCCATCCATTTAAACATTTGCATTTATAATATTATTGTACAGATTTTCTTAAGCTTCTGTTTGATATTAGTCTCCACATAAAACAGTGATGTCCATCTTGTATTTAACTGCGTTTTCATTATGTTATTGTTTATTTGTGTGTACAAACGTATTTTAATTACATTCGCTGAGAAGATCGCATTTCTATTGCGCGAGTCGTTATCCAATAATTACACTTGGACTTTAATCTAGTTATAATGGTTCTTATCACCATGGCATAAGGTTCAAAGTGTATATTTGATATATTACAAAACAATTAATAGTTTGTATGATAAATCTTTTTCATTATATTCTTGGTTATAAATATCCATATTATTATAGAATATAATTAAATTAAAGACAAGAGCGTCGGTAGCTCAGGGGTTTCAGCACTTGACTTGCAATCTGCAGGTCCCAGGTTCGAATCCTGCCATGTACTAATGTGTTTTTCGATGTTACATATATCCGACATTACATTTATCCGACGTTCTTACGATGAAGGAAAATCATCGTGATGCAACCTGCACATATCTGGGAAGAAATTCAAAGATATGTGTGAAGTCAACCAACCCGCATTGGGCCAGCGTGGTTGACTATGGCCTAATCACCCTTAACTTAGGGTAGGCTCCGAGCTCCTCGGTGGGGACGTATAGTTAGCTGATGATGATGATGACAGAATTTAATTAGTATTGTAGGAATTAGTACATTTTATAATCTCCATTTTAGTATCTCTAGCTAAATATGTTGACTACGATTTTATTTTGTGCTCAATTATTTAGGAATTTTTGGGCAAATTACAAATGACCGGTATTCAGAACTTAACGGTAACAAAGACACTGAAAATATTTAATTACAAATTTTAGTATATTTATTGTTTTTTTCAGTAGAATAATGGAGCATATATTATCCTTACATTGTGACTCACTTTAGTATTCCTGATGGAAATTATGTCAATTAATATTTTATTCATCACTTAGCGTATCTTAATTGTAGATTATTGCCACCTGTCAATTAATGCACTCATAGATTAATGACACTATTTATACAAAGTGATAAGTTGATTGAAATTGTTTTAACATTAACGTTAATCGATGGATTTGAAATTTATTTCTAACACTTTGCATTTTTACCGTTTTTCCGCTTTTAATGGTTTTTTTCGATGCAAAGAAAAGTAAACGAGCCAGTTTTAATTATTTCTTAAAATATTGTTATTTTTGTCTTCTATACTAATATTATAAAGAGGAAAGATTTGTTTGTATGTAACTGATTACAAAAATTTGGCTTAGGTATATTTATTACTACATTTTTTTGCATTCCACGCGTACGAAGTCGCGGTCAAAAGCAAGTTTAAAATAAGTTATATATATCTTCATATACTTTTGATATCCGTTACTTTTAACTGTTAAAAATAATCTCACAAATTCCAATATTAATATGCACATGAAATCAATTACGTAAACCAACAAAACCGTGCCCGAGGATGAATAAAATTAACAAGCGGCCAATTCGTCACGCGGATAATGATGTACGCATCAATAAATCGATATCGATACAATTCTGAATACCATCACCCATCTCTCTCACACATGCCCTCTCTCTCACACGAACAGCACGACACGGTTAATTAAAACGAGGCATTAGCATAAACAAATAAAATGCCCCATTACGAATTCAATTTACAATCTTTGAAATCGGTTGAATTAGTCGCAGTAAATAATATCTCGAATACTGATATTTTATTGATATTGTGGTCTAATTTACAAGTGGAAAGCGTTACATCTACAATCAATATATAGCTATAGCAATCTAAATGCACTCTTGTTTGTTACAATAAACTGTAAATCATACTTGACCTATATCACATTTTAGCAGATGGTAATCGTCAGTTTTTATGAGTATTTAAATTCTGAATTCCAAAATCCTAATTATTAGATTTATGATCGTTAGACGCTTAGAGCAAAAAATTGTAAATGCACTAAATTATATTATAAAATCGCCTTTGCTTATCGCTTTAAAACATATTAAAGGCAAAATAGAATGTTAGTGTCTCTGTTCACATTTGTTTTGATAAGCAAATATTTTTATTTTTCTTTAAGTTGTTAAAATAAAAAGTCGTATTATGAAGCTTTAAATACGACTACACGATATTAAGTATTAACTACCATTAATTCTGCTTCTACAAGTCACTATTTTTAATTAACTATTACACGGTAAATGGGATATTTAGCGAAATGACATAGAGGGATTAGTTTTTTTTAGCAAAAGCATTCTTAATAAATTACGATAAGCTTAAATTTATACTCAATATATTTACAATTTAAGACGGTTTATTTACATAGCTATATATTCAAATATTATGATATTTGATCAAATCTGCATTTTCAACGAGCAATACTTTAACGTATCCATCAAAATTAAATCAAAATGTATTAATTATAACTCATTAACTAAGAACTCACTCCCGATGAGATCAGTCTCGTGCGAAAGTTTTAAGATAACATCGTATAATATTTATTTATTAATTAAATCGTAAGAAATGAGAATAATCGCTGATAAGTTCGTAACAGTGCGTAGTTGAGGATGCGCGGGCGCAGTGCCCGCTGCCCGCTCCCCGCGCGCCTCGACCGCCACCCCCCGCGGGCAGCGACACGGGCGCGCCGCGGGGCGCCTTTGTCCCGCTGTCCGAGACTGAAGAGATGCCCCACACAACGACCTTGTAGGCACGCACACCACTATTTATCGTTATCGATATCGATAAACATAACGTCTTAATTAAAAGACCAAATTATTTATATTTAAAAAATAAAAAAATAATAATATAAAAAAGAACCAACGCCAACCTTCGCTAATCGGAGAGAAGAAGAAGAAGAAGAATATAAAAAAGAAAGTAGATATACATTGATTAATGGACGAGATTTACCGTGACGTTTAGTATTTAATAAAACATATTGAATAAATTCATAGTACACAATTTTAACCGTGCACATAATTTAAGATCTATAATCTAGAAAAAACAATCTACATATATAAAACGTTTGAAAGTTGTCTTAACTAAATGTGTAATATAATATTGCTTTAAATTATCACCATAAGAGGTAAATTAGTCGATATCGAAATGGACGTAAGGAGCCGCCCTAGCGTGGCGCCTCACGAGCCCTCGCGCCGCGGGGCCGCATTGTCCGCTCAACTAAAGTGCCTCATATTCGGTTACCCGCCTATATTACACGCCTATACTCAACATCGATATCCCTCCAACTTCACCAAACAGACATCCTTATTTCAAATAACTAATTTATTGAAATATATCCTTATGACGTAGTACTTAGAGTTGATTTTTGATATATTATGATTTATAGATGTATCGTTTTGATTCGGAATAAAAGGATGTATAATTCACATTTTACTACTTCTTGTACAAACACGATCCTTAATAAATAAGCAAACAAAGGTCCAACGTCACACCTTATACGAAATCACCTTTGTCATACAACTCGTTTAATACATTATTTATAAATTTTAATGTGTTTAGAAGAAAAAATATCTTTATTCATAAGGCAATAAAATATAAAATTTATCGTTAGAATTTCATTAATACGCTATAAAACGAATGTTTACGAAATTAATGTCGGTATTATAAATATTGAATGATTCGTTAAGATTTGTATGTATGGTAGAAAGTCAGTTGTCCGCTGTCGTATGTATAAACAACACTTGTTCTAATTAATTATAAATATCGATTTTATTTACATACTTACATAAATACTTTACATATGATTATGTACGTTTCAACATTACAAATGACATACGACGACCAACTGGCTTTTATTTTATAAACTATATAAACTAGTGAAATATTAACTTTGAAAGTACCAAGTATTCTTTAATTTTATAGGAGAAGTGGCAAACTAGCAACGAGTCGCCTAAAATTATTTGATCCGACGCCCATAGACATCCGGAACGCCAGAGGAACCGCAGATGCGTTGCCGTCCTTTAAGGGAAATGTAGGCTAATCACATACTAGCTGTTACTTCCGACTTCTAAGTCGCAAAAATAAAGAAATTACTTTTGCACTTAAGCTGCATTCTAGCAAAATTCGTTACGTTTGTAACAAACTAAAATAGAGACTAATAATAAATAAACATTAGAAATATTCAGTTTGTATTAGCGTGTAATTTTATTATCCATCTAATAGATATGAATAGTTTGATGATAGTGACCAGTTCTGTCGCATTTCCCGGGACACGACTGAACTTTCGGCGCTCGTAAATTGAGCAGTTGTTTTATTGGTCGTAAAACTTGGACTTGTTTTAACATCTGACGATTTCTTAACGGTTACTAATGCAACAAACTTCGAACAGAAAATTGGGACAATTTTATTTTACCTAATTTTTTTTAAACTACTTTCTTATCTCATTTTTCCTTAATTTAAACGCAATAAATTTTCTTTAAATATTTAGTATAAAAATAGCGCACATACTTTTCTTATTTTAGAATATAATTATAAAATTTTTGCTTGTGTCTACAGAGGAGATAAGCAGAGAGTATGAAAAACGTCAGTGTCAAACTTTCGTTTTGGTTACTTAAATGCTTTAGGCATATATCCAAAACTATCGTATTAGGAGTGGGTTTAAACAAGAGTGTAATAATATCCTAAAAATATTCGAATAATTAGTCACCGTAGTCATAACGCTTTATCGTTAATATCGTTTCATTATCAATTTTATAGCTCAATTACATAAAGTTTTTACTTGCATTTATCGCGAAACGAATTTAATATAGAATAAAATTATTACACGAGTGTTAAAATGTTGATTTTAAAGTGGTCGTATCAATGACCGGACATGATGCTGTAATTTACTGCAGACATTATAAAACGATATCAGTATCGTGAGTACAGATTTAATGACCCATTACCCAAAATAAAATGATATGTTCAATTTTGATAATATCCTATAGGAACGCTTCCAGTTATTCCAATTGGAAACAATTGTTTATTATTTGATTGAAGCCTCGCTAGATGGCGCTGTTACTAAATTAAGTACACTTTTACTTTTTAACTGCAAGTTTAAATAATGATAAAATAATTGCTTACATCTATTTTTATTACTCCAAAATTCACTTACCTCAGGGTCAATCTTCTTGAATTCAGGATCCTCTTCATCCACCTCGAAGTACAGCTCTGTGGAGGTGAGGGACACGGTACCAGGTGCCACCAGCCCGGGCGCCACCAGCCGCGCTTTCGTACTGATGTTCACCGGGCCTGGGGAAAGAAGAGATCATTTAGAGATCACAGCGATTTAACGGAGGATCTAGAAAAATTACATTCAAGTTAATAACCGTTAAAATACGGTACGTGGTGTATTTCTATACTAGCTTTTCCTGCGTATCCGCGTGGAGATAAATTAATGTGTTCTTCCAGACTATGTTCTATGTCTGTACCAAATTTCATAAAGATCTGTTGAGCCGTTCTGAAGATACTTTGTAACAAATATATTCTATGTTTAAATACATATTAAAAGTATAAAGTATATCAGAGTTTATACAGAGGCTATAAAACTTATAACTTCCGGTTTAAATGAATCTGCGACAGTTATGCAGAGTTGACATGTTAACGACGTCAGAGGGCGCAGGTCGCACACAAATATAACGACCTTTTATAATTTATACAAAAACCGTACTTTTTATTGCTTTTACTTAATTTAATGACCACATTATATCTCTGTTACGATTTTATAAAATATTAATCACAAAACACTAAACTCGACATATAGAGTCGGACTTGGAATATAGTCGACGTTTTAAATTTTGAATTTAATGTAGTTTTAAAAAAAACGTGAATGATTTTTAACTATTTTATTACAAATTATATTTATTAAATCGTGTCGTGCGATAGCGGTTTGTCGCATCAGTGGAAACGGATCATGGTACACCGTTATTTTAATGGCAGCAGTGGAAAGATGGCTTAAGATAATACTGACCAGTGAGCTCCTGCTCAGCGTCGCGTTCATCCAGCAGCGCGTCGGCGTCGTCCAGCAGGTCAGCTGCGGGCGCCGGCAGCTGCGCGCCGCCAGCAGCCTGCGCTATGCGCGCGTGCAGCTCCTCTGTCGCCTGACACACACACACACACATGTTACCATGCGTTTCCACTGCCCACACACTTGTTACAAACATTGTTATTTATGTTTTATTCAAATAGAATGAGAGAGATGTTACACACGTCACACGACGGTGCAGATTCAACGTAACATACTAATAGCAACACAAAAGTACCAGGGTAACAGAACATTAAAGGCAGTTTACCTTTGCATTTCAAAGAATGTTTAGTACTACTTAGATTAGATGAATCGTTTGTTACTTCAAAGTTTGTTGTGCGTTACTCAATCCTAAGCGTGAAGTGTACCTGCAGTATGGCGTCGCTAGGGGGTGTGGGCGGCGCGTGCGTGTGCGCGGGCAGTGCGGCGCGCCGGCGACCGCGCGGGTCGGGCACCAGCCGGCGCCGGCGCCGCGCGTCGTCCTCCCACGAATCCAGCTTCCAGAAGCCCTCGCCGGTACCCTCCTCGGTGCCCGTGATACTGAACATATTATATAGACGTCAGTAGAATAGAGTTGCTTTCTTATTTAGCTTTATCTATGCATAGTACAAAGATATATAGAGTGTGTGACGTAAGATGAAGGTATGGTGTGTATGGTGTACCTGGCGTGCGCGGCGTGGCGCAGCTTGTCGAGTAGACGCGCGGCGGCGGCGTGGTCGCGGCGGCGCGCGGCCGCTATCAGCCGCTCGCACGTGCGCTCCTCCTCCAGCCGCTCGCTGCTCGTGCTCGCACACACGCACTGCACCATGACAATCATACATACAGACATGCAAACTGTCCACCGAACTCTGAAGCGTTCGTTATGATCCTTCGAGTCGGATTTGTAAAAAAGTACGATAGCTTACGGTACGGGCCATCTTACCTCAAAGTCCGCATGCTTGAGGACGTCATCGGCCCTCATCCTGTTCAGTATGAATTCAGCTTCATTGGCAACCCTGAAATGATTAGCTATTTTCAGTCTTCATCCTCCATTTCAATACCTCATCTACTTCTTTGTTACTTTTAAAGATGATAAGCAAAAGTTTAATAGTAACCTGACGATATGGTCGCGCATGGCGTGCGAGAGCAGACGGCCCTCGTTGATCAGCTCAATGAAGGCGAGGCCGGCGTGCTTCTGCAGCGAGTTCTGCCACTCCTGCGAGCACAGCAGCATCACCAGCTCCACCACAGACGTGCTCGACTTGAACGTCTGCAGACCTAAGGCGACACAGGACAAAACTGTTACCACCTGGTCTTACTGCTGGAAAATCCAAAACTAAGGGTCGGCCTTGTAAAAGCACTTGTATGCACATATTGTCCAATATTATTACATCTTTCTTGTTTTCAACACAAGTGTTATGTTAGTGGTATTTCGTGGTTAGTTTGTTACCTTCCATGAGCAGCTCCTGTCCGTGGCTGCCGACGAGGGTCTTGGAGAGGAAGGGCGCGAAGTCCAACATGATCTCGCGCAGCAGCGGACACACGGGGCCCAGCGCCGTCTCCAGCTTGTGCGTCAGTGAGGCCTCGCGCGACGCCTCGCGCCCCGCACCCAGCTCGCCCGCACCCAGCGCGCTCAGACCCGCCAAGGTCTCGTTATCCTAACAATCAAATCCAAATTACAACAGCCTATTCCAATAGCCTGTTGGACTGTATATTTATATACTGTTTGTGGATAGAAAAACATTGAGAAATTTAAAGGTACAATGATAGTGTAATAACCGGATGTAGATGTCGCTGCGACGCCTGCAGGGTCCTTCGCTGGTGCCTCTGCTGCAACTGCTGCTGTTCCGCATTCCTCATCTGAATCTGCTTCTCCATTTCTACACAAAAGAAAATAAAAGTCCAACTATATGTATTAAAAAAACCCTTCAACTTATAAAAGAATACGAATCGATAACACCACTGTCAAGATCCGGTTCCGGCGTTACTTTATTATTGTAAAATTAACTATTATAGAGCAGCCTAGTTTACTACAAGTGTAACTAAATAAAGGCAGTATGTGCACTACTTCACGATACATTTACAAAGTCTACATTTATATACCTTCATGTATATTCCCCTCGTGGTCCCTCCGTGTGATGGTGGCGGGACCTCGCTCCTCCTCGTTCAAGTTCACGTCAGTCCACGACTCGTCATTGCTTACCTAAAAGATAATAAACAAGACTAATATATATTCCATATTTAAGATTAAAAGAAATTCAGTTAATGTTCACTATACTTTCATTCCAATGTTATCTCACTACTTCTTAATTTAAAAATATGAATGTTTAGATAGATGTATGTTTTATATTACATATCTCCAGTACAGTTAAATGGATATCGTTGAAATTTGACATAGATGTAGAACATAGTCTGGAACATACACAGGCTACTGATTGACTTTTATTTTAAGCCGCGAGCAAGATAATCTTACTAGTATTATAAATGCGAAGGTTGGGATTGATTGATGTTTGTCATGAAATAACTACGCAACAGCAGAACGTATAACGCATAGGCTAGTAGCTAGTTTTTTTTAATTACACACGGACAAGGATATGGTTACAATAATTTTCTTACTGGATGTTTGTTATCGTCCATTGCGATCTCACTCGATGTCTCTGGATCATTGTTTGTGGTCTCCGTAGAGTTGAGATGAAACGAACCGGCGTCTTCAATCGAATCTACACTCTGTCGTAATATGAATAGAGTTTAATTTCATATACAGTCAGAAATAATAAAATAAATTGTATTTAAACATGAAACAGTCGACAAGTAAGGAAAATAAAATGAAACACACACACAAAAGCAAATATGTAGATTGAAAACATGCGAGAAAATTGAAAGTTCATGTGTAAAAAGCAAGCAAAGCATTCGCCATACATACATGCCAATCTAATTTGTGGGAATATAACTAGCAAAGTGCTCAAAATTATAAACAAATTTCGATTAAATTAATTCAGAGGTAGCTTTCTGAGCTCCATCTAAAGTATATGAATAGTTAATTATATATTTCGAGGGAAAGATCATAATAAACTTATTTTATCAGAGAAAGGGAACTTCCCCCTTATAATAATTTATAAAGCAGTGGCAAATTAAATAGTAGGTCTATTTAATTCGGTTATTCAAACAATTGAGTCAAACTGTGTATTCAAAATTGTGCTTTGTGCTCTTGTCATTATAGTATACAATACGTATATGTTATGTTAGTATAATTAGCGTAACGTTAGCCTATACCTCACGTATTACCACTTCATGTTACTATAAGTTTCCATTGTGAAAAAACTCAAACATATACCATTATCTCTTTCATTCCCTTTGGAAGATAAGGAACAACAATATGTTTGATAAACTGACATACGTTGAAAGTTCTTCAGTGACAAGCTTGTGCGCACAATCTGCTTTAGCCAAGTTAAACGATTTAGGTTCAACATTACTAGAATTATACGCAAATTTATTATTTATTAGTATAAATAACAAATAACTCGAGTCAATCCTTACAATTGTAATAACAGTACAAAGTAGTTTTTGAGTCGTTGTGAAACTTTTATGAACCAATATCGTAAATAAAACTCCCTAAATTTAGTGTTGTAGTGAGCGAGTCTAGACGTGTGTGCTGTAAAGAAATCGTACCAACCAGGTTGACCACAGACACCGTGATCCCAGATAACGTTTTCGACCTCGCACTCGGAGGCTTATGAGAGAATAACATGAATTTATTATTTATTAAAAAAAAACGAAAAATTCTAATGCCTACAATCCTATCCTATAGTAGACCGTAACACCCAGGATTTCAAAAGTTAAAAAAAAAACAACAAAATCTAATCTTTATCTTTCCTAATTTAAGAAAGGAAAAAACTTTAGTAGCTATATTATATTTTTGTAGACTGTTTAAAAAACTAAAAGGTTAGTCTAAAGTTTTGGGTTCACGTTCTAGGCTAAGACAGTAAGCGTCAGTAAAGGAAACCTAAGACCAATCACCAAGAGGAAGTGATATAGAGCCTGCAAGTCCCAGAACTGACCTTGGGCTTTGGCCTGGCCACTCGGAGACTGGATTTGTAAAGCGGTTCCTCCTTCTCCGATGCGGGAGAATCTTCATTCTTTGTTTGTTCGCTAGTATTCGGTTTCACCTCGTCCGAAGTAGTTTCAATACGCGCCACACCTTCTTCTTTATCATCCTTAAATATTTTAACGCGTTTGCAAAACAAAAGAAATGATATAAAAGCGTCCCCCCATCCCCCCACCGAGGCACATCGAGTCAACTAACGCACGTTTAGAGGCACAATAAAAACCGATGATAGCAAAATAAAAATCCAAATGGAAATCGAACTTTGTACCTAAACATGCATGGACTAGACAACATGGAATATCTAAATCTATCGTACTGATCATAACCAAACTAACAGTCGGGTAAAATACATTAAATATGAATATTCATGCCAATTCAATTGAAATCGAATCAAACTATAAAAGTCAAACTATTGGAAATGACTTAAGTAGTTAAAATATTAAATCTACTTACAATATTACGTAATAAAAGTTGCAAAATAACTTACAGATAAATACTAAAACGGTAATACAAAAATAAATTGATATTAGAAATGAAAAATATTACGTAAGAAAATTCTATATTATTCCAACTCTCTACTTAGTAATCTACGTTTTTGTTATCCTTAAATTATGTAGGGTTTTCTTACTCATGCCATAGGAAATTGGACATTAAAAACATTCAATATAAGACACTATTTAGTATAAATAAAATCTTACCTTCATCGAAGGTGAGTCCAACTCATTTATCGTAGAATTATTTTCGTCTACGACAATCATTGCGTATTCAACATCATCGCCGTTGTGGTCTAAAGAGAGATGCAAAACATTACTATATTATTTATCATCCACAAAAAAACACCAATAAAGCTTTCAAATAAGCAAGGACTTAAGGATCTACGGTCAAATATTTCCAATAATCTTTTTAAGCAACCATTTTAAAGTTACATTTGTATGCAAAACAATTTAAAGCATTTCGATTCTTAACTAACAAATCACTTGATAATTTCTATCAGCTTTAGACTAATCTTACAAACTAGACTAATCTATTATATTATAATAATAAAAAAAGGGAAAGTTTAAATAAAAATCAAACAGCCTAATCTAAATCTAGGATGGTGAAATGATGTTGCAAATTATTAAAAACGAAAACAGCGGTGCTAAAGCGGGACAGATAAAACACTGTGTTGTCTTGCGCGGCAAGTCTAGACTTTGAATGTGTCTAGGACATTTATTTTAAGTCCTAAGACAAAACAGTGAACTCGCGAACGTCGACAACATCTATAATACGTCTCACACCGCATTGCTAACGAAAACTTTTCAATAATGCTTAAAATATTGAGTTAATTATGCAGTAAAAGGTTCATCACATAATGACTTTGAGAAATTATTTTTATACTTTGTAGGATACATATTTTTTCTTTAGAAACCTACTTAGTAGTTTTTTCATGAGTATATAAATAGCGTGTGTTTAGTACGCTTGCCGTGAGCAATACGTTGCGAGCGTGCGTTGCGCGTGCGCAGCGCGTACCCGCGTTCGCGCGGTAGTTAGCGATGCGTGCGTGCGCCGCGTGCGTATTGTGCGCGCACTGCTTGTGCGAGTGGGCGTGCGGGTGGCGATGCGCGTGCGGGTGCCCACCCGGCAGGAACTGCGGGTACACGTGGTGCGACCACTGCGGGAACAGCGGACGCGTGCCCCCCGCTGCTCAGTGCCCCCAAATTATACCATGTATTTGTGATTGTACGTTGAACGAAGACAGTAAATAATGATTAAAAGGAGTTTTCAATGATAAGCAAATATAGCGATTTTATTAAATATATGTAGTTTCAAATTAATTAATATAAATATAATGTTATGTGTATTTTTGTATTGAGCGAATATATTTGTGAAATATTTGAGAGCGAGAGAGAGAGAGAGCGAGCGAACAAAATAACACAGACGATGTTACCAGGTGTCCAATCGTGACGCGGAATCAAGCGGCGTGAAAAAAGAGGAGAAACGACACATTCATATAAGTTAATCGTAACACGTCATCATTGTCACCTACAGACATGACATTGTTGTACTATAGGATACTCACAGCATTGTAAAATCTTAATTAAATTTCTTTAAATTATGGATGTTACTAACTTTTCTAAATAATTTTTGATAACTAACCGACACAATAAATTTTACAGTGTGTTTTGTAAACTAATTTGTAATCAGATGAATTAAAGTTTAAATTAATTGTCAAAATCCGTGCGACGAAGCGTTTGTAATGAAGCAAAATAAATATGACAATGATTTAAGACAACACCTGTATGTCGCTACTTATATAATTATATTTAATTTTAATTCAAATAAGTCATTCAATGTTAGAACATGTTAAAAAAATTATCGAATACACTAAAACAGGCATGAAATTAAATAAAATGCTAAAACATTACTAAATGTATTATTATGTATTTATTGAAAAGATTCTCTACATATATTTTTAAGAAATTAAAACGACATTAAAATATACTTGTATTTAATTCATTGTTGTTATCATTATGTTATATATAAAATTCTCGTGTCACAATTTTTGACCGATTCTCATGAAATTTTGTGAGCATATTGAGTAGCTCTGAGAATCGGTCAACATCTATTTTTAATCCCGCGCTGACGGAGTCGCGGGCGACAGCTAGTATTTATATACAAGTCTATCGTACTAACATTACAAATGCTATGATGGTATGCTGGTTGTTAGGTCGAAGGTATCTACAGAACGGTTGCATAGATCTGAATAATATTTAGCATAGATGTATAATAGAACAAAGTCTGGAATAACATATAGGCTACTTGATTTTTTTTTATTTTGCGCAGATGAAGTCGTGACCATCAGCTACTTTTAAATAAATATGTTTTATTAGTGACACCATAGCTAGAATTGTACATAGTTTTACGTACATACAAGTTTTACGTCTAATAGAGACGATTACGTTACCGGGACTTGTTTACAAATGTATCCTATTTTTCAAAGTTAACTGCAGTGTTCAGTTTAAGATTACATTGGCTTTTTATCTTTATTAAATAGAAATGAACGCAGTATTGACAAACACACAAAGAAACGTGTGATTCCAATGATTCAGAGACAACATGTTTCGTATTTCATAAATGAATGATTGCGACTAGAATATAAGTTGACAGTCATAATATTGATATGGTGAGTGTGACACTGATGACGCACCATGGTGTTCGTGGTGGTGTGGTCTGCGCGTGCAGTCTGGCGGCGCGTGCGGCGGCTCCAGGATGTCTCGGTATTTGGACACCATCAGTACTGAGATGAAGTAGACAATCGCCAGTGACAGGAACTGGGCCTGCTTCGTCTCTTCCTGGAATTATTCAATCAATATTCATAAGAATATTAATTACTAGCAGTTCACCACGACTACGTCTGATCGCGCTGAAATTAGGCATACATATATAACATAGTGGAAGAATACATAGGCTATTAAATAATTTTTTGTTTTAATTCCGCGCATAAGAAATCGCCGGGGACAGCTATCTTCACAACACATTTGAGGTGACTCACCACATCCCTGTAGATGACGGCGCGGAGTCTGTTAACGTCCATGTCTTGTAGCAGACGCTCGGGGTCCTTCACGGGGCTGGACGCGTCCGCTAAGCTCGCCACCACGCTCTGCTCACACACAAACATACATACATACGCTGGATCTTTCATTATAATCTCTGGATTACAACAAAAGTGCTAGGGCAATATTACATGTATCATGACAAGTGAAATTCACCGTTATGTACATTCTTATGTATTATATTCCTAGTTATTGCGAGATATAATGTTCTGGTAAGTGTTTGACTTCTTGTTCCTGCTTCATCATTAAAAAACATTTGTATAAACTAAAATATATAAAAATTAAATAACACAGATTTAAAAAATACAGTAGACTAGTAACTAAAAGATATCTACGAGAAAATGTTATTATAGCTCGCATGCAAAATTAAGAAGTCTACAGTTCTCTATTCTAATCTTAGCTATCTCATAAATCACGTAAATATTAAGAACATGATTCTTGAATAAAATCTTCATGGAGAGTCTTCTCTAGTAGGGAACGTTTCATTATTTTTCTTTCAGACTCCCTGCTATATTTATTATTATGTTCTGTGCAGTGATTCGTACGATGTTCCGAGCCGTCAAGATGTCTTTAAATACTACATACGCTAACCTTAGGAGCGGGTGAGTCCGGGGCTCGTGCGGCACGCGCGGCGGCGCAGCGCTGGCGCTCCTTGCATTCGAGGCAGTTGCGGACCGCGCACGTGCACACCTGCGCACACGCTACACGCTACAAGCTACCAATACACACTACTACTAATACTATACACATTCTAATTCTCTATTGGAACACGCATCACGTGTAATGCGACGCACAACATGTGTAATGCGACGCACAACATGTGTAATGCGACGCACAACATGTGTAATGCGACGCACAACATGTGTAATGCGACGCACAACATGTGTAATGCGACGCACAACATGTGTAATGCAACATACAACACATGTCATGTGTGTATTCATTTAATTTCAATAAAACTACATATTTTATTTCTAACAGCGATTAATTCTTGATATTGACTTATACTAAGGTTTACTATATCTTAATTTCTTCTCAGACTAAAAAACATTAACAGGAAAAAATATTATAACTAAATTAAACAAAACCCTACTGACCGACTGTAATATCGGTTCTATTGAAGTAAGACATTTGTATAAAGAAGGAAATTACGAAGCAATACCCTAATAGATAGTCTCAAAAACTCAAGAGAAGTCAAGAAATAATAGAACATTTGTCGTTAAATCAAAACAATAGAAAATCTAAAGAATAAAATAAAGTATTCAAACATTTTTACAAACAATTTATTCATTTTACTATGCAATAATGCTGATAAAACCTATTTTACGATTTTGGGCACTAAAACTTATTTTCACAATATCTATCAATATAGGTTCCTACTGACCAGTCTCAAGCACTGCCTCAGTATCCCACCGCTGGACATGTTCTTCTCAGCCTCGAGCTCTGCGAAGTTGAGTGCGCTGGCGAAGATAAGGACATCGGCCATGCTGACCAGTCGCTGCAGGAAGGTGACCGCCACCTCGACAGGCATGCCCTGCGTCGGTTCGATCACGTCCAACTCATTCTGGAATCACATCACGATGAAGATAAGTATATTGTGCGTTAAGTGAATTAACCAGGTCACAGAAGTGTTATAGTTCGAAGCTGCGATGTTGATAACCAAGCATCAGTATATTGTTTTGATTAATATTTCTTTAAATTCCTATGTTACTAACATTGGGCGATGTGGCGGAGGCGAGCAGCGGCAGCAGGCCGCCGCACGCAATGATCAGGTTGTCTGCGAGCTGGCTGATGAGGTGCACCGTGTTCACCACAAAGATCGCGTTCTCGCTGCTGTTCACAAAGTCTATCACAGACTTGGTGGAGTGACTGCGCCACACCTACAGTACAAGTTACACAGAATTAGATCTTCTAAATGGAATTATACAATGTTGTCTTTTTAGGATAGTATTACATGGCATTGCAACGGTTATCGCTGGTAAGAGTAAATATATAAAATAACCTGTATATCAGTCTCCAGTGAGAAGAGCACGTCAGACAGCAGACGCTGATGTATGTAAGACCAGCGGAACTCGGGGATGCGGAACGGTGGTCGCGTCGGGCCCGGCGAGAACATCGGCCGTGTGCACTTCGGACGACTTGACTCTAAAATTATACATATGTTTACAGGGTAAATAAAGGTGCGTATAATTATAGAAGCAGAACGAAGAGCTGTATTATGACCGATTTCCATAAAGAAGTAACATACCGAAATGATTTGAATCGACTTGTGTACTTGTGGAGGCACTGCGCGGTCGTTTTGGTGAAGTAGATGTGTTCGTGCCTTGGGATACATTTTCCGTCCTGCCGTCCTGCTTCATCTCGCTGTCGCCCGGTAAACTAACTCGTCTCTTTTCCCTTTCGCTCTCACGATTCCTTTCTTCTTCGTGCTCCTGTTGCTTTTTGTTGGCGAGCGATATATTCTCGCTAATTGTAGAAATTGGGGGAATTTCTGGTGTTTTGTGTTCTTCGGACTCCTCTGCGTCTACTCTATGGCTGTCATTTATGGCATTTTCTTCTGCAATTTTACTTGACAACATATCTTGCGATGGTCCGTCGCTATCGGGATTAACTATGAAATCTCCATCTAAAGGTAAAACATTTCCTTCCTCGGAATGTTCAGGGGTCGAAACTCTCTTTGGGCTTTCGCTCTCTTTGATCACCATCTCTTCTTGGGCTTCACTTTTAGCAACAACTGTTGAAATTAGATCCATAACAAGTTCGCTAGCGATCGTTTCAACAGTTTGTTTTTGATCGATCATTTCCTCCATGTCCTGTTCAAAGTCGTCTCGTCCGTTAGGCGTGTTCCCCTCTGAGTGCGGTCCACCAGATATCGCCCCGGAGTCTGTGTCGTCGTCCGCCTTCAGTTTGACAGTCTCGAGGGCGATAGTTAGCACATCGTTTACAATATTTATAGCGATATGTTTAGGATCATCGCTGGTTATCTCTTCAGAAATACTAATTTCAGACTTTTCCTGCGTTCTTCTGGGACTCGTGGCCTCGCTGGGAGTCAAATATAATTCGGACCGATCCGATAATTCTGATTCCCTCTCATTTATAATATTCATATCGACTACTTTCTCGGGGCTCGCCGCCTCGCTCGCCGATAAGCTCGAGGGGATGCCTTCGCTCTTATCCGTGTTGTCATCTTTGGCGAGACTGTCTCCTACGTCCCTGACCGGAATGTAATCCAGGCTACCCTGCCGGCTTAGAGGTTTGTCGGTCTTCTCAGAGTCGATTATTCCGATGCCGGACTCGGAGCTCTCTAGCAGCTTGTTATCAATGATCGACTGCACCAGTTCGCTGTCGGGGCTGGGAAGCTTGTCGCCTTCGGGCTGCTCGCCCTCGTCGACCGCGTGTTCAGTTTCATTATTAACATTATCACAACCGTCGTCGTCGCCGGCGTCGGAGCCCGCGCTCTGCTTCAGGGGGCTATGCACTTTGCACACGTCACTGTACACTTGTGTAGTCCGCGTCTCTTCGCTCCTGTCACTATCACGGGAATCACGTTTGCTGCAATTGCAGCCCTCGACCTCCCTGAGGGAGAGGCCTTTGCCGATCTCCGTCTGTGCCGCGTGGTTGAGGACGTTCTGTTTCTTGATGGTGCCCGGAGTGCTGACGACGCTGTCGTCGGTGTCGGGGCGAAGGCGAGGTGCGGTGGGCTCGGTGTGTCTGTCCCAGCCAGATATGGTCGATATCGGTCGCTGCTGGCGCTCCGCCGGGTCGGTTATGTTGTCGGCGCGCCGTTGCTCATAGTGTTCGTACATTTGAGCGAATTGGAGCTTGAACTCTTCGTATGAAACCTGGAAATACGAAAATCAAATGCTATCAAACTTCTTTCGATCAGGTGACTATTAAGGTATGCTTGTGAATTAAATAATAGTTACCTTGGAGTGCACAATAGCGAGGGTGTCGACCCAGACGCGCCAGCCGCCGTATTCGTGCTTGATGGCATGGTGCAGCAGCATACGGAACAGCGAGTACACCATGTCGGAGATTTTCTGCTCCTCCGCGTTCTTAGGGTGTATGTAGGCCATGGCCACCAGCCACTCCTGCCACACCGACATCTGCAGCACCGTGCGCCGGTTCTCGCGGTTGTTGCTGCACAACAGCGTCATGTCCGACAGGAACAGCTTCTTCACTTCCAGCAGCTGTTCCGTCTGCTTGGACTGTCGGATCAGTGTCGCTACCACTTTTAGTATCACTGGAATTAAAACAACCAGGAAATAAGTATATAGGATGGCTAATTAATATGTTGTGATACAATTCAGCATACATTTTCATAATTTAAATTCTAATTTGGACAAATAAAACTCTTAAGGTTATACAAATTATTGATATAGGTAGTATATGTTGTTGAGTGTCGTAGTACGGTGAATATTTGTTTAGTATTTAGAACACTTTGTTATATTTTATTTATTCTACATACTGCTCGAGTTAAGATGTATGTATGTTTGTTTGTCGCTTTGGTATTTACAGAAAGTGAATGTATCTCACTGGGGTTCTCCAGTCGGAAGTGCGGCTGCGGCTCCGGGTGGCTGGTGTAGAGGATCTGCTGCGCCACGTGCTCCGTCAGCAGCTCGTACAGCGCGTTGTACACGGGCAGCGACAGCCCCGCGGTCGCCGTGCCCCCCGTGATCCCGGCCGTGCCCCCCGCGCTGCCAGCAGTGCCCCCAGTGCCCGCCGCGCCCAGCCGCGTCGCCAGCAGTGTGTACAGGTTGTGGGGCGACATCACGTCGTATTTACGTCTGTTCCATACACGAATTTTAAACGCAAAGTAGAATTAAAAACAGTGAAAATATATATTAATAGGTTAAGTGATAATTATAAATCATACTTGTGTGTGCTCCGGCTGAGGAAGAAGCCGAGGAGTTTGAGGGCTTGCAGTCTGATCAGCTGACTCTCGGAGGCCAGCAGCTTGAATATCGTCCGGACTCCGCCCTGTAAAACATACAGTGATATAATCTCAAGTTTACTAAATAGTTTTGACATTGAGTACAGTTAACAAGGTACCTTTGCATCGAAAGCTGGCACCATAGAGCTGGGGTGTTCAGACATCAGAGATATCAACATCTGTAGAACATCGTGAAGATTCTCATCCTAGAAAGAAACATAAGAAAAATATATTTTTAACAATCAATTTGCACAACGTCAAGGAAGTATTCGGTAAAATTAATTTGCCGCTTATGGTGCAATATATTCGAACATAAGGGATTTAATTCTATAAGTATACCTCGTGCATGGTTGTAAGGTAGTTGAGGATGGCCTGGAGCTCGTCCTCTTTGACGCCGTTGCCGATCATAATGAGCTGCTTCAGGAACAGTAGGATATACGCGCGGATGGTGAGGATATCCTTATGCGCGGGCCTGGGACCTTCTGTAATAAAGAGCAACAACATTGTATTTTTTTTTTAATTTTTCTTTTTTCTCTTTTTGGTTGTGTTATAAGTGTTGTAATGTTTTTGAACGGATTAAATGTCTTATTATTATTATTATTATTATTTCACTTTTATATTAACAATTCCCTCTCGTTTCTTCGAATCTCTAACAGAGATAGGAAAAATTTGATCCCTTGATTTTACTAATTGAAAAAAGGCTTTAATTGATCTTGTGATGTCGGGAAATTTTTAATTAATTTTATTCAATAAGAGTTTAAAATAACTTCAGATTATTCGGCTGTTAACTAGTTTCAGCTTCAATCATCAAAATAAATGTTAGAAGGAAAGCGGCAATATTTCAGAGGCAAATAGAGATGTACTGCTGATAAAATGATCGTCAAATAAAAGTGATAAAGCCTTAGTAAACGAGCCAGCGAGAGTCACTCCGACAACGACAAATTTGTTGCGATTTAGTCCCCCCTGCTGCTACGCCCCCCACGCTATCTTTATAATGTCTTCATATTAGGGCAGATGAATTGTTTCCGGAGTTGCGCCGGTCATTTATCAACTCCTCTCTGATTCCTTACCTTGATACTGTCACTTTATTAATTTAATTTATACAAAATTAAAACTTTTTCATTAAATTTTGTTTACTTTAAGTTATTTATTAAATTAACTAGCATAAAAATAGAGTCTTTTGACGTTAAGATTTCGATTATTGATTTTTACTATAAACTGTTTTTAAACTTTATTTATTTATTTTATTTATTTACTTACCTAATCCTTTAGCAGTGATCCCACTCTTAGTCCTTGGATTGACCACCCAATAGTAATACTTGAGTGTGTGTACAGTTTGAAGAACTGTGCTGATTCTCCTCACGCTGCCGTAGATGTGTGCATCAGCCAGGAAGTCAGTAGCCAGATAGCAGTAAAGCCGAGCTTGCACTGCTGCCGGTGTGTGGATCCACAGCGAAGGGTTGAACAACACGTGGTCAAGCAGCTGCCAAGTCACGAATGAGTGACAGAAAGACTACGTTAGCATAGACTTATGACTGTCCGATGGTCGTTAGCGTAACGCTCTCTTGCTGATTGATTTTAAACAATTACAATTTAAATTTAAAAAGTGTGTATAGATTTTATTATATGGTGAAAATAGATTCTTGTTATTCACATGGAGGCTTTACTTTATAACAATAATCTTGAATGTATTAACTAAGTGTTCATTGTGCAAAAAAAGCGTAAATTTCCGCTTTTTCTGTTCAAAATTTGTTTTACACTGTAATGTTTTATTCCTTGTGATTGTTGATAAGGGCGTTTTTTTTATTCTATTAAGCCCCAAGTGCAAAGCAGTGATTTTATAAAGTAAAAAATCTACTTTTCGTCATATTTGCCATCTTTCTTTAAAGCAAAACCTATTGTAGAAAATAATAATAAATGAAGCACGAATCTGCAAGGGCAATTGCAAGAAAATAAAATAATAAGATAAGAACTATTGTCCAAAGACTCCACAATTTAATATTAAGAAAGTGGGAAAAATAGTGACAATTTTTTGCGTAAATTGTGCAATTTCTTCTTTTTTTGTGTAAACAAGGGAGGGGGGGGGGTGTAAAAAGCAAGAGGAGCATGCGCTAACAACCATCAAGGGGAAAAATAAATTGCAGCTTTTGGGATTTGTGCGTAGTTTTTTCGTTCCTTCTCGGCTGAAAGTTTTCAGGACGTCATCTAAAAAAGCTTTCATAAAAAATATAACAATGTATTTTAATGCAAAATAACCGTGCGTTTACACTGCTGTATCACTTGTGCAGAAACATATTCTTCTCTATTTCTTAAAAAGAAATGAAATGACAATATTTTGCCATTATACGTTATTTTCAGCAATGGAAACTCACAGCTAAAAGTGCTCAATATATAATAAGTTTTGTTTTTTATCAAATATATTTCATCAAAGAAATAAAAATAAAAAATTAGAGTAAAGACAAGAATTGTAAATTAGTATACAAAGGTGATTATAACATTGAAATACGGAACTATAGCTACCCAAAGCGGTGTCCCCTATTGATTTCTTACAGATTTACCTGAATACCTACCTGGACATATTGGCAAACAATGTAAAGCATTTTAAGCTCTAAAAACATAACAAATAAAAATCAAAATGGAGTTTGAAAAGGTAACGACTAATGTAAAGTCCTCATTGCAACAAATAACCATATTATCCTATGAGGTCCTGGTATTTTTATAGACTTATATGGTACACTAGATGGTCGAGAAAACTATGAAAAAGTCCTTTTATAAACTATGAAAAAAGGAAAAAAACATAAGACATAAAAAGATAGCACATATCGCTCACCTGTTTGAGCAACAGATCAGAGTTGGGCGAACAGCAAGTGACGAGATGCTTGGTGAGGTGCAGGAAGGAGGCCAGCGTGTCTGCAGTGAGATGGTCGCGGGCGCAGCGCTGCAGCATGTGGGAGACGACGAGGAAGCCGCGGCACTGTAGCATGTGTTGTTGCACCGTGCTGCACGACTCCACCAGCGAGCATACAAAACCGAGCAGCTTCGAGCTGGAAACATAATCCGCAATAAGAAAATTTGCACGCATATTACCAAGGATACAGAAAACGGCTTTGGTTTGGGTATCGGTACCCTTTTATATCGATGACTAGAACTAAAATACTGCGTTATTTGACCGCCCTATTTAAAATATCCAACAAAAGACATTGCTGCAAGATTGCTATTAAATTAAGCTAGGCGTTTATTGCAATATAGTTAAGATGTCCTAGAATTAAAATATTAAATATACATCGAAAGCTATCAAAACGTATAATTTTACAGCAATAAATCTCGACTGTAGACGTAAATGGTTAATGGAGCGATTATAATGTCAAGACTCATAAGATATTCAGCAAATATATTATCGCATCGCTTTAACCCTTTCAGTGTAGATAACTGAAGCTCCATTAGGCAAATGCGGCTGTGAACGGTTACTATTACAGATTAAATATTAACTTTGTTAGTTAATATTGCACGAGCACGATCTTTAAGAAAAGCTTAAAAACATTTCGCAATTTTATTCAAGATTGATGTTATTAAATAGAGAAATTTGAGCTTTATTAAAGGAAAAGGGCGCACAAAAAGAATAACAAATCACGCAATTATACCGAGCTATGTTCCTTTTTTGTTGAACAAAACATGTTTTTTCGCGGCTACAAATTGAATTGTAAACGAAGAAAAAAAGTTAAAATACAAGGGGCCCTTAGCGAATAAATTATTGTCAAGCGCATAAAACGCTGTTCATAAATCCGAGCAAGGGGCAAGACCAGGCAATTAGGAGTTGTCAGGAGTTAGTTCATAGCTATTACCCGTCTGCCTCGAGATGGCTGGTAACTTTCAGGGGCGATTAGAGAACGACACCTAAAGTGCATTTAGTCGGTTTATACGAGTAAAGCTACTTGGAATATTAATGAATTGGTCTCAGCTTAGAAAGTTTATTCAAACTTCAATTTAGTAGTGCTTTAGTTCGCAAACTCTACTACTTTTGTGAATTTCGCTAAGTCTACAAGCAAATGACGAAGTCAGAGACAGTTTTTACGATTATATAGTACAGTCTCGTTAGTAGAAAAAGGATCTAACTTACCATAGCATTGGATCTCTCTTGGGCTCGTTGGCCGGCGCGTCATGCGGCAGGTCGAGCTGCGCGAACAGTGGAAACAGGACTTGCACGCCACCGATAGAGTTGAGCGCGCTGTGGATGGAGTGTGTTACCACCGCTTTCACCTCCTACAGACAAAGGTAAAATGGTACAGTGGTAGAGACTAGTAGCTTTTGGTAGACATGTACCTAGAAGTAGTACTACGTCTCAAGTAAGTAAATCTAGACAGTTTCAGATATTTTAAATCAATGTTTTAGTTCAAATTAAAAGAGTACCAAGGAAAATTACTTAACATAAAAGCGGTCTTTCTAAAGACGTCTGTTAAGTTCAGATACCCTGGTACTATATTAATTGTACCTGCAGCATGAGAGCGTGCGGCGTGTGCACGAAGTAGGAGACGTTGCCTTTGGGCGCAGACTGTAGACATAGTTGGCCGTCTGTTGCCACCGGGTTGTACATGAACACAATGGCTGATGACAACTTGCCGTCGTACAAAACCTGCATGAAACATAAATGTAAACAACACAACGGGAATTTTATGGTACGAGGGAGGAAATTGCTGTATCAAGATTACTAGGAGATTATATTTTTTAAGTTATATATATATGTTGTTTGTTATTGTTACAAATTGTAGTTTGACAATTCTGAATAGAAAAAGATTGTTATTAAATTAATTGTGAATAAAACTATTAAACATAAATATAAAAACACACTGAAACATATGTTAAACATGCAACTAACATAACAAAGAAATAATTAAATTACCAAATCATTATAAATTGTAGGAAAGCGGATTAACAAATGATGCGAATAATTGTTAAGCTGACTGAATATGTAGCGTAACTGACGTGTTAGTAAACGAAACATAAACCCGAAACCCGTGTTAGTATCCTATAGTATATATTAATTCTAATATTAAAGAATAGCTAAAACATAAATCTACACAAACTTTTAATCTGTTAAGCTTATTAAAGCGTAAAAATGTCTATTATTTTAGCCTATTATTGTTATTTACGTATATCAATATAAAGAAGAGAAAATTACAGTTGGCCGTCATCCTATCTTATCATAAGGTGTAAAATCAAGTAAATTTCTAATTTTAAAATGAATAATTCGATACTGTTGATTTAGAAAAACATTGAATTTGAATTCGGCTCGATAGAGTTACGAAAAATTTGGTATTTTTGTTTACTATGTTATTCTTTTTACATGAAAACTAAAACTATCTCAAGTAAATATATATATAAACAAAATAAGATGTGAAGATAAAGTGTTGTAAGCGGTGAGCCATTAGCTCAGATAACACGCGAGACGTGCAGGGTTGTCACTCCGCACAAATCACTGAACATCAATATTGATGAAACTTAGCTTACAAACACTTCTGGAATAGATTTACTGTGTAAAAATGTCTAATAAATAAATTTTCTAGACAAATATCTATATTTGTAAGTTTAGAATAATTTTGGAAATAAACTAATAGATTACACTAATAAATGTGCGAGAAACATTTTTTTTACAAAATAGCAAAAATTATGTTCCCAGCGATGTGAGTTGTTTTTTCAACTTACTAAGATAAAACATAATATTCATTAGTGACAACCCTGTGTAAGAAAGGAATCCTTTCGAGAGTAGCGTTTTAGGGTTAATGTAATGGTTGTGGTCGGTGTCTCCTTACTCGCCTCGCTACGAATAAGTCGCGATAATCCGAGCTTATACCAAATTGCACTAAAGTACACAATGAGTTGATTGTGTTACATTTAAAATAAATAGCTTATAAAGTATTTTTCCTTAAACTATTTAAGCTAGAGTTACATAAAAAGGGGTTAGAAAACATAAAATTTGCAATACTAAAATTTATTTTTTGTTTCGCAACTCCAGTTAGTTTCAATAGTTTAAGAATAACCATTTGATTTGTATTATTAAGCTGCGGTAATACGAGTAGAAACCTAGGTATTGTACCCTAACCTTTATTTTTTATTACACATAATCCGATTCTATTAAGCCATTAAAACATATGATGTCTCTATTGTTTGCAAAGAGAAAGACAAGTAATATAGTGTATACTTTATATAAAGATATAGACATTGGAAGCGCATAGTTTGAGACTATCATAGAGTAACATATAAGTCGATAAAATACTTGAAGATAAATAATGTGCAGCAAGAAAGCGCTGTAATGTTGCGGAAAGATTTCACGTTTATTTGTTGCTGAGTGCTGCAGCGCTGTTTGCTGTAATGCATGTGCACAACTAGTGGCTAATGGGCCTAACACTTTGTCCGTTAATGTTTCATACTTATAAATTATTCTCTTTCATGTTATATGTACTGTTTACGACTATTATATCAATTGTTCCAACATCCATCAGTGTGAGTTTCCACTGTCAAAACATGCACAAAAATAGATTGATTTATCTGAATTCCACGGTTACGATGTCGGATATCATAAGATACGTATAATTTTTTTAACATGTCCAAAGCAGTTTTTTTTTTACATTTACCTTTTTATCGCATTTATATACAGAAAGATATACAAAGCTCACTCAACATTCTCAAGACGACATATCAAGTTGTCATATTATGTTGTCAGAGTAAGTAAACATTCTCAAGTGTGATGAAGCTGAGACAAATCTCAAACGACGAGCCACAACGAAATACTAAGAGCTTTTGATATTTATTCAAATAACAGAAATAATCACAATGTAGAGAAAAATAACTAAGACGACAAAAATAATTATATTTAAAATGCTCTTCCATTTATTTTTATAAAATACTTCGGACATTTTATTCGTAATATTTTAAAAGAAAATCTGCTAAAATCGTAGTCTGACAGAAAAGTATTTCATCTTAAAGATACAAAAGAGAGAAGATATAAAAACGTTTTGTTATGATTTCTTAATGAACATTATGAAACAGATAAGATCTACGGAGAAAATACAATTATTTTTCATTACATTGTAACCTACGCCAAAATTATGAGGTTCTTTATCTTGATGTTTCGATTTATAGAGACATAGCTGTCGCCCCCGACTCTGTCCGCGCGGAATAAAATAAAAACTTAATAAGTAGCATATGTCTTCATCCAGATTATGTTCTATATGTATATCAAATTTCATCAAGATCTGTTCAGTCGTTCTGGAGATACGTTCAAACAAACATTTATACATCCATCCATAGATTTCGTATTTATAAATGGTATAATGTTTTTAAATAATTTCATAAATAAAATTATGTATTAAGACGGTTCTAGTATATAAGTAAAGTTAGAGAACGTCAATAGAGTTTTGCTTCTAAATACGAGGCGAAAATTGTCAAAGTTAAGCATAAAGTTCACATTCGTAAGGCAAGAGTCGTTATGAGCGACTTTGTTGAATATAATTTGAATTTGAATAAGATGTTTTGGTACTAATAAAATAAAGTTATAAATTATAATTTTAGTAATTCTTCAGTATTTTGTAATTTATTTAAACAAATTTTTATAATAAATTTCTTGAAAAACAAAACCATATTTAAATATTCCATAATATTTTCTAAAATACTTTCCAACAAATAATAAACTTTTAAAGTAAATGAAATTGTCCGTTACAAGGAAACATCGAAGTCGATTAAAATTCCATAACTTTCTGACAAGTTTGATCTCACAATGAAAGTCTCCGAGAGGGCTGTAGCCTAATGGGGGAGGGAGGTAGAAGCAACAAGATATATTTTCAATAAATATTATTCGAAATAAAAATCTATCCATTCACGTTATTTCAATATTGACTTAAAATGTAATAAAATATTCAAGATGATTGATGTAGATAAGATAATATTATTTTTATATATATAACAGTGTAACTAACACGACTTTCTTTATATATATATATATATATATTATATTATAACTCAAGAACGGCTTTACCGATATGCCTGAAAATTGGTGAGGAGGTAGCTTAGAGCCAGGAGACGGACATAGGATACTATTTATTCATTTTAAAAAAAAAAATCTTACTAATAATATAAACGATGTTGCGAATGTTTAGATAGATGTGATGTGGATGGATGGATGAGTGGGCTACACTAATTAAGTTTTTTTATATAACCACGCGGACGGAGTCGCGGGCGACAGCTAGTATTAAATAAATTATTGAAATACATGTTAATACTGTTTCTTTTGGTTTTAAAAATAAATTTGTCGTGAAATTTGCAATAAATAAGTCGATATTCAATGTTGACAATAAATGCAACCCTATATCTTCCGTATCAGAAATTTCTTTTACTTTTTCAATAAAACTTTGGCCGGTTTTGTTCGGTTTTGAAAAGCGAGGCCGTCGTTACGGACCTCGGGACTAACTTTGAAGCCTTTTGTTACAACTTACTTTGGAAACATCTTTCGCGTGCCTTTGCCAAACTTTTTACACAACAAACAATAAAAAATCAATATTATTAAAATTATTTTCTGACAAGAAGCATTTATCATAAATATTAATTTCCTGCTTTGGGGAATTTGTTAAATAAGATCGATTGCAAAACAAAAGCAAAATTTTACATAAAACAGATTTCGTGGGAAAAAACAGCCGCATTGATCAAATTAAAGTGAAAATTATTTGCGGAAAATATAAGGCGCGTATGTATTTGAAATATTTATGAGACCAAATAACTAAGATAGAATAAATATTATGAGTAATTTTTGAAAGTCAATTAAAAAAGCTTTAAGCTCTAATTCATTGAATTACTTTTCAAAACAGCTGTAAAGACTAGGATAAACTGTTAAGTAACACCGGACCTAAACTATATAACGTAATTACAGTTCGGTTGTACAAGTTGCAAGCAATCTGACAGCGTTAAACTCCCTCAAACAAGTTAATTCAATGATCCTAGATCATTAATTTAACTGTACACCACACCTACTCGTTACAACTTTAATGGAGATCCCACAAACTGTCTCGGAAACCCTAAACTTAAACATTCATCTATTGTTAGTTTTATATCTTTAGATTTAATTATTATCATGCAGTTTATTAAAAGTCAAATTAATATAAACCCTTCTAAACTTCAAAAGTAACTCATCATAACTCCCAATTTTAGAATATTAGTAATTCCAGAATTCCCTGATAATTGTATCTCTTACATCGTGTATATTCTGCGTTGGATCGTGTATAAGATCGCCGTATTTATCTACCCGGACTTCAGCGGTCGGTAGGGGCACTCTGGACTCCGAGGCGAAACGGAACTGACCCTGTCAGGACATCACAACACCAATGGATATGTTTCAGACATACACAATCTGTGCAACTAGCTAACTGAACACTTAAGACTTAGGCAAATAACATAGAAATAAATATTACATAAATTTTAAAGTGCTGTTTTACGATGCTTTTGTTGTTGATTTTGTTTTTAGATGTACCACTAATTTGCGACTAAAGCATTTCCATGTTCCCTTGCATAAGTCTGAAGCAGTCAGTCCTCTCCGGCTACATGTAAAGCAAAATGAACACTTGAGATAAACGTAGCAAGCGGCGCGTCATGCTTACACGCTTGCATGCTTCAATATCTACGAGCAGGGTCGCATGCGCGGCGGCCACTTCGCGCGCTTCGTCCGCCAGCCTCCTCCCTCGAGGCGTCGAGTCTTCCTTTACTACAACACTATCTTCTTCTGCTCCCCTGGTATCTTCAGAAGCGTCAGGATTGGTTTCGGGATTGATTTCGGGATTGGGATCATTATCGGGATCGGGCAGGGGTTCAGCGTACTCAAGCTTGGGCGCAGCCGTCTCGCTCACCCTTTTGTGATTTTCCGGTAAACTGATGTTGCATTCGTTGTCGAAACGGAATTGACTCTGATGTTCCAAGGTTAGCAGGAAAACAAATTATATTGACAACATTATTACATTATACAAAATTCTAAGTTAAATCAAAGTATTTACATAAGTTGTAACATAAGTGTAACATCAAAGAAATATTTGAAAACATCAAAAATATTTTTTTTACTTTGAACTGTCAAACTGTGGCAGAAATACTGGTAGTAGTGTTCTAGTTCCACCGTACCTTATATCCAGGTCCGAGGCGGTGCATGGCGCAGATCTGGTGCGTGGTGAGCGCCTCTCCGAACAGGTAGATGGCCGCCATCTGGCCGCAGAAGACGCGCTCCTCGTCCAGCTCAGCCGTCGCGCCGATGTAGCATTTGTCGAAAGGCTGAGTCCATACATATTCATTTAATTATTAACTTAAAACATTTTTTATTTCAATAGTTAAAGTATATTGAAAGTATTTCAAAGGTATTTTATAGGAAGGTTAACTTGATTTCATGTTTATACGATTAGTCTGGTAATAAGCCGTATCTGTAAATTTATTTATCGTGTTTCAAAAAGTTAATTTTACCTGTCAAAACGAATAATTTAAACAAAAATGAACAGTAGAAAAATCATAATACAGTGACGTAAAACAGTCACAAAAAATAACAACGCCACGAAGTGACGAGAGGTTGCGATGTAATTTCGTTGAACGTTCGTCACGCGGCGGAAAGCTCTCTGAAGAGCTTTTAACTCGATTTGGGGGCGTTTTATGTAGTTCGAGGTACCAGGACAACAGCGAAGGCAAGGTATGCATTAGCAAATAAAATAAAGCCGTCGCGCGAGTAATAAAGCTAACGAAGTGCGGTAACCGGGTTAGCGAGAAAATACGGAAGAATATTTCCGATTAGCGATGGCTTCTTACGTATTAAAAAGTTACTTATTAAGCCATCTATTTGCTAGCAATTGAAATAAGAATTTGATAGATTAAATCAAAAAATCTGATTATTGTAATTTATTGCGTAAGTTACATTTATCTTCTATCCTTGTCTCTCTTATATATACTTACTCAATTATTAAGCGTACAATTTATAACGATGTAACGCCATGTTAATTCCTTTTCAGTGCGGAGTGGCTTACGAGCGGCTTAATGTTTATGGGATAAGATTAGTGCGTGTACCAGAGATTACATTGAGGAAAATCTGACAAGACCACTGTTGATACAAGATAGTAAATGGCATTTGAAAAATGTTGCACGATTCATTTGAAGGTTTTGTTGCATTAGATCTGTGTTGAAGAAGTATTACGCCTTGTTCTTTTCAAAGCGAATAAGAGGGATGATGTTTTCTCATATAGAGGCATCTGAGTTAAACGTTTTTCTCTCTCTCTTTTAGGAAGTCATGGTACAATAAAATATAATTCAATTTATAAAGCAAAATAATTCGGGTACAGCTCGGAGCGATCCGGAAACTTTGAATAACACAAACACTACATTGGAACAAATTAACAACAAACAAACATAATAATTTAAGCCGACCACATATCAAAGTGGCAGCCAAATAATGTTACAACTAAAACAAAACTCGGACGAGGGTTGCGCAAAAATCAAGGGGCCGCAGCGGACCCGTCGTTTATTATTCATGATGAAAGGTAATTACTCTCATCGTGCGGCCCCGGGACTAACTCCACCTGGCCGTGGACACTGTCCGCGCCGGACAAAGGAGCACATTGTGTCCAAACATTGTTTAGATAACGTTTCAAAGAGTGACCTATTTTTGGGAAATAATGTCCACGGAAAAGTTATGAATAAAAAAAAAACTGGTAATAAATAAAGTCTCACGTCGTATACCAATCAATAACGCTAAAACACCTTACGCTCACATTTTATAAACTCCGCATATTTTATGCCAATTTTGCATACAGCGTCGATAATAAATTGCCTCTAACGACTTGTACGTGAGGAGCAGGCACGTCGATGTTCCCGCAACGACAAAATGTTTTAACGCTAAGCTGTTTCAAGTTATGTGCCCCTGGTACTCACGTTGAGATTAAGAAGGAGTTAATAAACCACCAAAAGGCACTTGGAACTGTAATTAACTAGGATTTTAGGCTAAATGAGTAGCTACTTTATTGTTGTTATTTCTCTAAGACAACAGGATGTAAGAACAATATGATACTTACATCATTAGTGGAGACGAACCAGGCCATCTCTGTGCTGGAGGCGAGCTGGCCATTGACCAGGCATTTGATCTCGCTCTTCGTCCATCTGTTGTAGATGTAGACTACAGCTATCGCGTACCATCTGTGGTAAATAATAACCTAATTAAATCAACATGACAAAGAATCAAGATATAGTTATTATCTCCAGATTGTAAACAGGTGTTCGAAAGAGTTGAATTTTATTCTTCTCTGGGGTGTCTTGCAACCAGGGAAACAGACATAATGTGGAAATGCTTCACATTGCATGATGTTGAAACTAAACTCTTGTATAGTTTACCTTCTAGGTTGAAACTCGTATTTGACGCAGTGCTGGAATCCTTTGCCGCGGACCTTCATCGATGTTAGTACAAGACAGTTGCCCACGAAGTGCGCCGTGTAACCAACGCCTTTGCTCGTCTTGAAACTAAATATACAAATAATCAGTCTTTCATTCTCAACTACATAATCATCATATTAAAGCTACCAATTATGCTTAACTGACGACCGGTTTTTATTCGCGTCACCCATCTACCAATACACCGTTTTATCACTCTCAATATCACCTCTGCTGTTGTGTTGAAGAGGTGATATCAGCCTTAAATACTGTCATATAAAAAATCTTTAACTAGAACTAAACTAGGCATGAAGAAATATGATTACAATAAAGGTAAAATTTACCAGTTATGAAAAGATATTGTCGCTTAATTACAAACTAATACGGCTATTACGAATTTCATTAGATCTTCAAAATGGTGGCCCGTTTTAATAAAAGTAATTATAATGAATTTAATGTTCAAATACTCTTCGCCGGAGCAACTCGGTTTAATTAAGTTTAAAATATCTTCTTATAAAAGAGTATTGCTTTCAGCGATCATTACTAAATACTTAGGTTTATTCTATTTGTTGTGCCCGGACTTATGCTAAGGGTTTGTCGTAATTAAATTGAATTTATTTACGACCCTTCTTGTCTTTTCAATGAGCAAGGATTAAAGATAAAAAGGTCTATTAATAAAACCTTCTTTCTATTAATAAAATTAGAACACCGGTAAATAACAACTTTCGGTATCAACTTAGAATCAGTATGCGGGCAACATAAATTATCCAGAGCCTCTAATTACTTAGAATGCAGCATCTAAATTCAAAGTAAATTGTTTTCATTGCAGTAGTGCTACAAAGTCCGAGTTAGGATGCATTTAGCTAATTGAATGCTTCGTTCCCGCCCACCAAAGCCAAAGTCCCTCCCCGTATGCGTATCGCCTTACGCTTATGATACCCTGGTAGCTTGGTTTTAGTATAGAAGGGGTTATCCGCGGTGTTGTTTGTTTGTTTTTAAACATCTAAAACCTTGGTTTAAACAAAGGAAAATTAATAATAAAAACGTCATGCAATACTAATACTAGGACACAGGATCCTAATATAAACATAGTAATTTTATTTAGATAAAAATGTAGTTATTTACCAGTATAGATATGGTTTCTCTCTCTCAATGTTGACTGAATTAATGGGATCGAGTCTGAACCATGTGGTGAAGGTGAATCCGTTCTCGTAGGGCCACCGTGCTAACGGGGGCAGCACAATCGCCTGCAACAAATAATATATTTTAATAAAGAAGCTGAAATCGATAAAACACAAAAATAAAATCAAATGTGAAATACTAAACTGCACTATATTACGACATAATTTATCAAAACTTGTCCGACAAAGTTGAGTGGTAGTAATAGAGAGCATAAAGTTGTAACTTATTCAGTAGGGCGCTAATTTCGTATTAAATCAAGGCGAGAACTAGTTAAATATGTAACCGTTATTAACTCGGTTACAAGTTACGAGGCAAAGTTTGGTTCCCTTGGGACCTTATACGCTATGACCGTTTCGTGGTCGACAAACTTTGCAAGCCCATATTTGTTCATTTTGATTTAGATGACCAATATATAAAATATACCTAGTGTACTGGGCTACAATTTTAGATCATAAATAAACATACATAGCTATTTTCTAAACAAAAACTCCAGGAAATCTTAAGGATAAAAGATCGGATTCCCTAGCGTCGTATTACCGAACAAAATATAACACAGCCTCATGCTATTATTAGAAGCAATAACTATTATTTATGTTACCCATGAAATGTATCACAAAGGTTCGAAAGAAACTTTTAGACAAGAATAAAAAGTGGTAAAAAAATAACAAGGTAGTAAACTGAAATTCTGTCACTACACGCACCGCATCTGAACCAGAAAGGCTTTTTAGAGCACGAGCTTACCAAGAAATGAATAGCCTTCAATAAAGGGCCGAAAGTAGGGAATTGAGATAAAATATCGAAGCACCCTGTAAGGGTAAAAGGACTATTTATCACTACATCAAGCGGTCGAAAGATAACTGCGGCATCAACGCACTTAAATCTTCCCAACTGCCGTACTTTGTGTCAAGACTAATTTTTACGCTTACAACCATTTTAGGGTACCTTTTTCTTTTACATTTTATTTAGAAGCATTTTCTTTTTGCCCGTTTTCGTGGAGTATTATGTTTTTCAAAAGTATAACGCAGTGCTTGATGCTTTCCTATCTTTATTCGTTATAATCCCCATCGTATCCTCATTGACATAAGTGTATGACAATACGAAGGCGTTTGTTGCAAATATTAGTTAGTGCTAGGCCTACTGGAAGTTAAACATACTCGTACAAGTCATACGTAAACCATCCGCTATTAACTAGGAGAGCAGACGAGGCTAAGACGCGTCAGTTTGCCGTCAGATGAGCGGATAAGCGCGACAGAGAGAAATGGACCGACCCTCGGGCGGGCTGCGATAAATAAAAAGAAAAAAAGCGGACACACACAGATAGAGCCCAGTATGTCACTGGGATTACGCTCGCCGGCCCGGCCCATATTTGAATAAGAATTGCCAATAAGGAGGCCGCTTAAACGATACCCCTAAGTCCTGTCCGCCTGGTATCGATCTGTTTTACCGCTTAGGTTTTCTGTTCGACTCACATACATTTTAATGCGAGGAGTTTCTACTATTTTATTGCCATCCGTCTCTGTCACTCTCTTTGACAAAACAGAGAAAACGTGATGATTTCCGAGAATGAGAACTCACACTTAAGACCAATAATAAATACAAGTGGGAAGAGTGATTTTACGCAAAGGAAAAATTTATTTTACCGCAAATTTTTTTTCAGGTAGCGAGCGATGTTTTATCTCAATCGGCAGAATATTTATTGCTAAAGTTCGTAATTAAAAAATCAATCAAACCGAAAGTGCGCGCCGCAAACCGACAACCATCGGAAAGCCATTACAGAAGAATTGTTACCGAATCCGTTCGCTCCGATGGCGAGAAATTTGAATTAAATTCCTTTGGAACGGTAACGAAACTTGGAGCCGACATTGTAGCAATATTTCAGCGTGGAGTGGCAACATTCCTGAGAGAAGTTGCGGGAATACTAACAAGAAGCCGGGCTGGTTCACACCTCCACTAGTATATACTTTAATTATAATTTTGGAAAAACTAAAACTTTAAATTTAGCTCTTTTAAATATTTCTATACTACTAAAAGTAGTCTTTTCAAAAGTAAAAATAGTTTGTTCAGTTGATTTACGTAAACTCACGCTAATAATAAAAAACCTGATCTCTACACCTACAATCTAAATTTATTAAAAAGACGTAATAGCGTATTTTCTGGAAAACATCGCTCCCACAAAATTAATTCGAGTCTTACAGCGTGATTTAAAAGAAATCTTTTAATACGCTCGTATTATCTGAAATCTTGGCAACATTTTTCGGGCGCTCGAGGGCGGGTTATTAAAGCCGACCCTTTGCCGAACGTTTTGGCCAATTTATCGGGCAAGGGGACCGAATGTCGCTCGCAAATTTTGCTAATTAAAATATCTTGATAATGAATGGCCGATAGCGTAATTCAACTTTCACCGGTTTTGGAAGATCGATTTTTAAAGAAAAAAAAACTGTCTGGTAATTAATATACAAAATAATGTCCCCACAGAGGGTCACAGAGCCTGCTCAAGTTAGGGAAGGCTAAGCCATAGTCAACCATGCTGACCCGATGCGGTTTGATATGTTTGAATTTCTTCGCTGACATATGCAGGAAAACACATTGGTGCATGTTGGGAATCGAACCTAGACGTGAAGATTTCGATCTTGTTTGGTCAAGCTCTTACCAACTGCGCCACAGACGATGTCTTTGAGAAGCAAAATGTGAATAAAAATAACATACGAATATTTTGCAAGCGTTGCATGAACTTGTTCTACTTTTGAAATAATTACGTAATATTGCTTGAGGCATTTATTCAACAACAAGTCTATAATTTTGCAAACGTAAGTAACAGGGGGCGTAGCTCAGATGGTAGAGCGCTCGCTTAGCATGCGAGAGGTACCGGGATCGATACCCGGCGCCTCCAAAATATTATTTTTGCACTTTTTTAAGTTTTTATTTCAATAATATTTTGTTGAGAGTAAAATACTTTTCTATTTTAGAACTAATTAATGCGTAAAAAACTAAGTACATTTTACTGCACTGAGATTATATTTTGTTTCTCTGTGGAAATTCTCTCCTAACATCTGAAAAGCTCACTCACCGATCCTTTCCTTCCAGGGAAGCTGAAGAAGACGTCTGGTCCGTTCCTGTGGGGCATTTGACGTAACACGTTGAGGAGCTTAGCTGAATGGCGCGGCTGAAACAATATATAATAATAATAACACTATTTACCAGGAATCCACTACTTCAAAAATCATTACAAACTAATTTAAATATCCAGTATATGGTCCTTTAAGATTATTTTTATATATGAATAGTCTTTAGTAAAGTTGTTAGGGTAAAATCTCAACTTGTTCCTTCTAATACCTCAAAGTTGTATCGAGTTTTAGAACAAGCCATATCTTATCCCACTTTGGAACAAGTTTTAAGTCTTCGGTGTAATTGCTTGGCTGGCGAACGATGTACTATCCTCTATTTTTAAGTGAAAAAGTTAACAAAAGTGGCCCTTTTTTTGTTCATTAATATTTCAAAACCGGTCATAAAAAGAAAAAATGCAAGGAAGGACTAAAACAACCGCCCCCGCAACAAAGGACACATTCTACCAGGCCAACAGAAATTCTTAAGAGATTGTAAATAACCCGCACAAAAAGGATAGCAGCGAACGCTTAACGCTTAACAAGAGGTTAGCTTGACTCTTTGAATTTACATCGCAGTAGGGGCGGCAGTAATGATCCGGCAAAAACGGAATAGCTACTTCTTGTTTATGTTGTCCGTCACAGTCAGAAAATGCTCAACATTTTTGCGAAGTTTGAACAACCAACCAGCCATAGTTTGCAATTTTTCTGGCCAGTTTTGTTTATAAAGTGAACAATTTTAGACAGAAAGCGTACAAAAAACTATAGAAATAAAATAAAATTTTCGTGGATTGCACGGATCACTCTAGACGAAGTTCGTACAGTCTATATTAATTTAGTAGTAAAACATTAAGCATACCCATTTGCCGTTAACAGCTTTCATGGCGTTGAACAGCTGCTTGAGTTCTTTGACTGTGACACTGTAGCTTGCAAGGACTCCCAGCATTTCGATGAGTAAATCTGAAACAAAGATGTTCAATTATTATTATAATCAATTAACAAATGCGCGATGTTCCATCCAAAATGAAAAATTCCATCTGTGGTAAAAATTACACAAACTACAATATTTCCTATTTAGATTTTTCCAGCTCATATTATGGTGAATAGCGTTCGCTCGCTACACCGTTTGCGCGGAATTTAAAAAAAAACATAATTAGTAGCCTATTTTATCTTTCAGACTATGTTCTACATATGTGCCAAATTCTTCAAAAGCCGTTGAGACGTTGCGGAGATACATTCAAACAAACATCTATGCATCCATCTAAACTTTCGCATTTATAATATTAGGAAGATTGGTCGTGCAGTACAGCAAAACAATCTATTATTGTTTCGTTATGATTCATAATACCAATTGCCATTTTCAAATTTACTTTACGCATTAAAAAGCGCACATAATCCTAGGCTTTGTGTAAACGGACGCGTTGGCGCTAAGCATCGGATGAAATTATCCATTCGAGCGAATTAATAATTCATCAGAGCACTGCACTCGGTAGCAAGGAATGACCTCAATCCACCAGATCCGTAAGCGCTTGCCGGATAATCCTATAGTCACGTAATTGTGTAATATAGGAGCGTTACTGCCAATATCAATGCAAGTATTGATTTAGCTAATTTAGAACGTACTAGAATGATCCAGATTGATCAATCTTGGTCGTTATAGACTAGTGATTAACCTTTAATCATAGATTCAGAACTTTTTAACCCTTTTTAGTTTACGTGTAACGTGACTTGATGTAGAAGAAAAAGTATGCAGCAAATAAAAATCAGCAATTACCGATAAATATTTTAGCGGTTTTTATTATGATGCATGAAATAAATCAAACATGAATAACGTCAACGTTTTGGGATTTCTAGTTATTTCTGCGGTGTGAATACTAGTGAATCCATTAAAACAAGGGATGAAGCTCTAACGCATCGAGTTAGAGCAAATTACAGAGTATATGATGTTGGAAGTACAAAAGGCGATACGCTTTGAACGTTCGCAGTTAAAACAAAAAGAGAACCGGTTTCGAATTGAAAATGTTTGCATAAACATTGCTCGTTCAGTTTAAACGGATATCGTGTGAGTTTGTTATTCGTGCGCTTTTACGAAATGGATACATCTGAAGTCTCGAGTATGTGAGGTCTATTTCGATTTCATGAACTGATATTTAAATGTGTAGCATATTTAAAATGTCGCATATGAAATGATGTTTGAAATATTATTTGAATGTCACCGTTTCAATTTTCATTTATAAAATATCGAAAAAATATTCCGTAAACTTATGAAACATTTTTTTAAATCAAAAATATTGCAAATATTTTTCATAATGTATATCTGCTTTCCTGCTTCAAATAAAGCTGTGTCTTAAATTTATTTAAGAAAAAAATACCGTTAATTTTTACTGGTGAAAACTTACGGTGATAATAGTCTACTCCGCAATTCATTTATATCAAAAGCGTAAAATAAAAAGCACTTGAAACGTCGAGTTCGCGGAATGACCGCCATATTGTTTCAAGAGTAATCCCGCGCATCGGCGAGGTGACTAATCCCGGCTTAATTCCCGGCAAGTCCGGGACTGGGGGCGCCTCGGACGAGAGTTTAATTCCCGCGGATATTACTGGACGTTGTTATGAAAGTAATCGGTGTAATTCACTGCCTTTGTTTGAAATAAATGCTCGGAACTTGTGCCGCTGGAAATCTTGAATAACGAACAACATTAATGGTAATTAATTTATTTTCATTCACAACATATCAAATAAAATGAGATCTTACTAATATATTAATTGGGAAAGTTTAGATGAATGGATGTTTGTTGGAAGGTATCTTCAGAACGGCTGAATGGATCATGATGAAATTTGCCACAGATGTAGAGCATAGTCTGGAAGAACACATTATAAAGAGAAACTTCATAATATATTGTTAAATATTACTTTTGTCGTTTACTTGACTTTGATTTTTTATCTACAGAGATAAATTACAACATAGATCTTTCTGTCTTTAGACATAAATCCGTGATAAGAGAACGCGGGTACTTTGTTACCCTACAAGATCTGGGAGGCTCGTTATCAGTAATAGGCTTTTCGAGTTCCTTTGACATTGTTTAAATAAGCTTTTTTTCTTATATAACTAAAAATGTATAAACACATGAAAATTCAAATAAATAAAAGCAGCTCTTTTTAATCATGGTAATCAGAAGCATAAGCGTGGTTGACTATGGCCTAATCACCCTTAACTTAGGGTAGGCTCCGAGCCCCTCGGTGGGGACGTATGATGATGATGACGTCACAGTGTTTTTAATAAAATTTAATACTTTCCGAAAACAACGTATAAGCCATGTTTTATAAGTAATAAATTACAGGCAACAAAAAATTAAATTATCTGAAGGAAATTTATTCCTCCATTGAAATCTATGTCCGCATAAATAATAAAATATATCGTAAAAGGGATACAGTGAAAGCCGAGCAATTTTATCTGAATCAAGATTTACTGATATTTTTATTACAACAAGGAAACCGAAACGTGGGTTTCCACTACCGAAAAACACGTACAAACATATATTTTTTCTCTGTTTTTCCAACCAGAGTGAAAGGGATGGTCATATTGTCATGAAGTGTTTCAGCATACTCCATTTTTGTAGGGGATTATTTGAGTGACGTGCATTAAAAATATAGCATTTTAAAAAGCTTTTCTATTGGCAAACAAACTATGACAAAATCATGATAGCTAGCTGTCGACCGTGACTCCGATCACGCGGAAATAAAAAAAAAACTTTATTAGTAGCCAACATTCTTCCAGACTATGTCATCTATGCCAAATTTCATCTAAATCCAGTTAAGCCGTTCTGCAGTTACCTTCTAACAAACATCCATCCATACATCCATGTTAATAAAAAAAACTATCAGAGAACCATGACATCTTAACCATCTCAACGTACTAGGGTATAAGAACTATGCATACATGTCTCTTTTTTGCCCTAGTGTAACGGATATCCTTGTCAGTTGACCCTTTGTTAGGAGCGTAAATTAAATTTCACAAAGGTAAGATTTATAGCCGATCCGATAATGAGATTTTCCTATGAAATAGACCAAAATAGTTTCGAAAATATAAAAAAACCCTTCTTCGTCTTTACACGAACTCCTTAGGAATATTTGTGTCAAACAAAATTACTCAAAGGTAATTAAAAAATCTATCCTGACATTCAGTTAATTTACTCGATTCACGTTTGAAACAAAGATGCTTTTAGGATTTCGTTACTACCAAATTAAAAGGAATGCCATTAAAACCCAAATAGGCAATTAAGTCGATCTGCAGCTTTTGGAAGATAAAACTGGGGCACCATTACGACTTACACTCAATCCCTAAATCTAGTTGCCTACTTTTTTTCTATTATTTAACTTCAACTTAGGTACTGCCATGATTCTTTCTTCAGTTTATTCCAAAAAAAAGCTACTCAAATCAATAAGGACTTTTTTTAAAGTCTTATTTAGTCTTGGAGATACGGTCCCAGTTCCCAGAATTCCCATACTTACTAGGAGATTATGAATATATAAGAGACGATAAAGTGCACTGATCCGTGTCGACGCCATGTGTTGTACCATTTTGTTCCCAGAAACAGCTGACAAATACATTCCAGGTTTTTTTAATAAGTTTGGAGGTGTTCAGAAGGGTTAAGAAATTTTCTCACATCTACTAGGGGTACATAAAAGTAGGCAGTATGTTTACTATGGTTATAGTCATAAAAATTGGTGTTAGCAGAAAGACCCTGAATTGGTACACCGCAAGAGGTCAAATTTTTTGTAAGCAAATCAGTCGAAATCGTTTTATTTCTTTTTAGTTTATAAGTAAATTACACTACAGTTACATTTTTTACAAAACAGGAATTGTAAATAATGTAACAAACTTTGCGTAACATGTTATGGAGCAAAATGGTTGATTTAAACGAAAGTAAAAGTGTGCAAAATGGTAATACAACCGGGGTAACGGCGTGCCCCCCTGTCGTACACAATTCACCACAAAACGGATATCGCATAAACGGGCCTTTTAAAAAATCGATAAGTATTTTCATTTTATTTAGGTTAAAACCGGAAAACTCAATGTGTATTATTCAACAAAACAATTTCATGATACTTGCGGAAAGAATTACGAGCATTTCTCTTGTTTTACGACTCTTTTATACAGAAGTGAGCGCGCGTAAAATAATATACGTAGTAATTGCTATCTCGTGTTTATTGAATTTCATTCCTTTAACTTAATTTACTCAAAAATTTTGATTTGCATGTTTCATTCAACATTACAATAGTGATTATATGTTATTTAATTCCTAGGGTTGGTTTACTTTTATGGTTTCCTTTCCCACTGTTACTAGGAGATCACACATTAGTAGGCACATCGACACAACACGAGAGGACACCAGTAACACGAATATGTATGTAAGAAAGAAGGACAGAGATATTTGACGCAGGTAAAAAAAAACAAAGACAAAAAAGTTGACACGCATTCAAAGATCCCTATTGTGCAAAACTAAAAAGGCAGAAACATTTATAGCGGGCTACTAGGGGTGCATAGGTGTCCTCGTGATAATGTCTACGCAAGCGTAAAGACGACGCGTGCCTTCTTGCAACATTTACAACTCACGCAGGTGTTTCCCTTGGTTTTTTCCGTCTCGCATATCTTTGCCTCTTCTGGTGTCCCGGTCCCTTTGGGAATTCTAAGAAAGTCATGAGAACAGAATTCCTCGCAAGGGTTTCGGGTATTTTATGTTGCCTTAGTATCAGTGAGAAAACTAATTCAACCCTTTTATTACACAGCTCCCACGGGTGATCCATGAAAAATGTTTTAAAAGATTTCGAGACATCTATGATAGCTTGGTATGGATAGGAAACAGGTAAAAAATTTTTGACATTATAACGGTCCATTAAACTTTAAAACACGATGAGAATGTAGGTCTCTTTTTTCTTTAGGTAACATTTACCGCCGAGTACGTTCTGCTATCCTCGTGGGCTTGGGAATATGATGCGATTAATATCAGTTAAGAAGTCGTCTCTCTTTTTTTTTCATATTTCGTCATCACTTTGGGGAACATTTGGAGAAAATAATCCCTGTTGACTTACTAAGTATTTCTGTTCCCTTAGTATCTGTGAGAATGTCCTTAACCCTTTACGTCCTCTAAGAAATCTTCGTTGCGTTCAATTTTTTTTCCCGGGGTTGCAATTTGTGTTGCCAGAAAGAGCCAGCAGTATGTTTTTTTTCTTTCTTACCTTTACTGGAATTACCCATCCCTATGGACATAAATGAAGGTCCCAAGCATTTTTGATACCCTGGTTTGTGTGAGAAATATTCAATTATAGTTATAGAAATATAAATTTTCAAAAAGGAAGAGGAACTCAATGAAGTTTTTTACTCTATTTTAAAAGGCCTTACTTAATTCATCCCAAGGGTTGTTCTCATGGTTACTAAGGCCCCAGAAATAAAATAGAGGTGTCCAAAACCATTACACACACCCTAAGGAAAGGGACGGCAGAAATATATGTGACAGGATAGGTTGAAATAGATGATAGATTGATTGGTTATCAGGGACTGTATGTTTGGTGGTTAATTTCCTATAATTAATGGCCAGGCGATCAGCACTTTTACGTTACGATTAGTTTCTACCGTAGACAATACAGTAGTAACAAACTTACCAGCGACAACTGTTTCTGCTCGGGGTAGCCTTTGCAGCACGTGGTGTATAAGGCCGACGTCTGTGCACGCCTGCAGGTTGCGGACGCTCTTGCGCAGGATCGCGATAAACACGGACCAGATCTCCGCCTAGAAACAAGATATACTATTTAAACCACTTAAAAAAAATGAAAAGACCAATTTAATAGAAGGTAACAAAAGAGTAAATAGACAGAAAATGTTAAGAATTGGATCACGAGAAAAGACAGTTTAATTTAGTCTAGTTACATTTTATGTATATACTATAAAGTTTCAATTAATTAGCAGCATAAAATCATCAACTGAAAATTTAATTAAACTTAACATCAAAGAGGAGCCATTACATGGAATTTCATTCGAATGAAAAATAAATAAATAGCACGAGGCTCATTTGCGCTGGCTGCGTATTTAAACGACGCACATCCGCACAACCGCGCGGCGCACATCCGCATTCCCCCTATTCAGAGGATACTCCTCTCATTTCCACAGCATTCCATTTAATACCGCAAAAACCTAATGCGCTGGATTTAAATTAAATTCTTTTCTTTGCCCATGTTTCACAATGTTCACTAAACAAGGGTGTCGTGGTTTTTTCCCGAGTTCTAATATAAAAAAAGAAAAAAACATTATTTTGTCTTGAATAACGAAGAAGGCCGTTCGTTCTCTTTTGGCGGGATATTAAAAAAATGTCTTAAGGAAAATTATGTTTCTTAATATTCACACACGTACTAAGGCATCAGAACAAGTAAGGAGTGTCCTCACTGCATGTTTGGATTGCGGCATGCTGACAACAAAAAAGGCAACTAACTCCATGGGGAAGTTTAATATTTTTTTACCAGAAGTCTAATACAATGACAATCTCGATGTTATATACATAATTATATGATAATCAATGTGTCATGTATGTGATATTCAATGATACTTTTAAAACATAATCATTATTTTCCACGACGAAAGTTAACCAACGTTAACATATAGATGTGAAGAAATTATACGATACAACTATTTGTCATTTTCAATACTGGTCAGAATTGGGAAGAAACAGTCACAACCTAGATGTAAGACGCACGTCATTCAAATTCGCACGGTATGCATTATGTTCTCACACGTACTAGGCAAGCAGCCGTATGCAAGAAGTTACGGAATGTTCAAGCATAAAAGTGCAAAGGGAGGTCCGTATCGAGACATGGGAGGGAAAGAGAGAGCATATACGAACGTCATCTGGCAAATGTAGGGGTCGAATGCACCTTTATTGTTGAATGAAAAAACATGACAATCATATCAGGTACGTTTAAACGCAACTTGATTTACTATTTTTAAAAAATTTTAGCTTGAAACTAGACAATTTTAAGACGTTTAAAAACCGCCGTCTTTGTTTAGCAGTTTTGTCAAAAATTTATGTTTAAAATTCGTTGGCTAAGGAACGTTTTTACCTTTAGAGTTATTCACCGTCTCGGATGTTAGAAAGTTTGTGAAATGACTGAATAAAAGTTTACAAGGCGAATGTTTCATTACTCTGATGGCAACATACAGTTCCCCCAACTGTAGACGTCTTGTGGCGTTTTCATTTTTACAAGCTTTTATTTTACGACTGTTTTATGTCTGTCTTCCATAAAAAGCTATATTAACTACATTGAGATTAATGTTTGATATGAAATTTCATTTTTTAAAAAGAAAACATGCAAAATATCTGAGTCATGTACTAATTTTTTTGAACCTTTATCTTAATAATATTACAAATGCGAATGTTTGGATGGATGGATGTTTATTTGAAGGTTTCACCAGAAACGGCTGCACTGATCTCGCTGAAATTTGGCATAGCACATAGACTACTAATTATTTTTTTAATTCCGCGCGGACGCAGTCGCGGGCGACAGCTAGTATTAATATAAACCTCATAATTTTTAAGACTATATTACGATACGAAGCTACAAATATAATTGGTTTACTTAAGTAATAATACTTGTCACTTGTAACTCATTCCCAGAGCCGCAGTGTCAGCGTGACGCTAATTACATCCCGCGGGATGCCGTTTCACGTCGCCCGCCGTCCATCACGCGCAACGTGACATGTCACTATTGTAACGTTTGCAAGACCACTTCAATATTTTATTATTAGGTTACTAAAAAAAGAATATTTTTAAAATTTTTATACAATTTATCCCTACTTCCCTCTATACTAATATTATAAAGAAAAGATATGATTGTTTGCATTGAATAGGCTCGGAAACTAATGATAGTTTATGTCACCCGGGGATATTCACACTATCCCCGGGTGACATAAACTATATCTCTTACTATGTAGTTCTTTATTAATTTTGCGCAGACGAAATCGCGGGTAAGCGCTAGTATTAAATAATTATCTTTATTGACATGACTTTCATATATTTTTAATATTATAGCTAATTAAATCTTTAGGGAATGTATAGTTGCAAATAATAAAAGAGTCATTTGAAAGGGCTTATGTTCGCGTAAGTCCACTTCAACATAAGCCGGGTTACTGAGACATACAAGTTGCGTTCTCCGAGACATGTATAATGAAGGCATCTTTCACCGCATGCGGGAATTCCAGCTATACAAAATAAACAAGCACTTTCTTACAGAAAATGTTAATTAGTATGCACTTGTGTGTTGCATTAAAGAAGGATAAACTAAGTTCTTTTCATAAATTACATACATTTAAAAATAGGTTTCTGTTTTTTTTTTAATTTAAATAGATTTTTGCAAATTAAAATGTACGAAGCAGTAACTGAGGCATAGGTATGGACAGGTAGAAGTGCTAATTACATCGCTCGTATGAATTAATTTAACGCAACACTGCGCAACTAACTACATTTACTAAAATTATCATTTTCATATGTACCGCCTACAATAACATACATACATTATAATTATTTCTATTCATATCCAACTCTATACATCCATCCATCCAAATATTCGCGTTTACATGTAGTAACATTGACGAGGGGGGGAGGGTTCAGTACCAAATTAGAAGTTACCAGGATAACAGCGACGCTCTAAACAAGAAATACCAGGAGCGCATAATCTACGCTGTGGTAACAATTCTCTAACATAACAAGAAGAGTGCAATTACATTGTTGAACGTTAGCGAAACAATCTCGGCGAAATTGCCGCTGGGTCAGATTTCAAGACAATCTACGTGGTGGGCTCCGAGGGAATGTCAGATGGAAACTTTTATTTTGCGGCGCAGCGTTTATTTCTCCTGCAACGATATTACAAGGTTTTTATTACGTTTTACGCTTCGAATATTGTTACATTGTCATATTAAAACGATGAGAAGTTAGTTAGGCTTTTATTACGTTACAAACAGCTAAAGCACAATAGCATTATATTCGAACATATTATAAATAGAATATAACTAAAAAATAAACTTTATGAAGAAGTAAGAAAAGCTCGAAGATCACGCTTGAAGAACGAAGTTCTTAAATATACATAAAACATGAAAAGTTTCTACAAGGATATAAACTTACTTCTTATTTATTCCAACATCACGGCAAAGTTGTTCTTAAGTCACTTTTGCTGAATTTGTTTGCGTTATTTTTACGAAAAGAACCTTTACTAGTTTCAATCTACTTTTCTGCGTTATTATAATAAATTAATCTATAAATAATATACGTATAAAGAGTCATAATATATGAAAAGTTCAGCAAAGAAATCAAAAAAGACGAATATGTAAAAAATATGTTTTCGAAAGTCAGAAAGGTTTCAAGCTCTTCAAAATCCCAATCTCACTAATGGCGAAGGCAAAAGCCGATTCTAACAGATCCATCGAGTGCGCTAACACGTCGGAGTGACGCAGCACTTCGCATCTCATCTGTCACGCTATCACGCCGGCGATTAACACGTCGCGCGGGGTGATGCAGCACGTCTGTCACGCTATCATGCCGGCGTTTAGCACGTTGAGCGGTGTGACAGAATCTGCCTTGTTTATCTAACGTTTGAATATGGAATTAATTTATTTTATCATTTTATACGATTTTTAATTTTATTTAAAACTGAGTTTTTAAAAATCTTCTGTACATAATATTACTTCTATTATAAATGAGGCTTATATAATAACATGATACACCTTGAGAGCATAAAACTATGTAACTTATGCAATAAGGTATATACCGAAACTTCACAAAACTTAGGAACTGAAGCCTTAAGTACTATGAAACATTACCTTCATGCATTACTTAGAAACCTGTTGTTTTGCAGCTGCTACACTAAATTCTAAATAATATTGTAAGGAGAAATAATTTATTGTTTACTTGCTATCGCCCGCGACTCCATTCGCGCCAAAATTTAAAAAAAAGTACTTAATAAGTAAGTAACTACATGTTCTTCTGGACTATGTTCTACATCTTTGTAAAATTTCAGCGAGATCCGTTGAGCCGTTCCAGAGACATCATTAAACATCCATCCATCCATTTAAATATTCGCACATTTATTACGAATAAACTCAAAAACGAAATTTAGCCTTTTACCTTTTTAATTCTGTTTATTAGTCGTGGCGGAGAAAAAAACTACAATAAAATTTCTAATGCGATTTATTTATGCATTATGGAGATTTACAATTAACTTGTAAACATAACTGCATATACCACGATTCTCATTTAATTTTCAATATATAATACTTTCCTTACTACATTTGGTTATTTGACTTTATCTTTATTAAATAGTATAATAAATAAGGTGCGGATGTTTAAAACTTCAGGTAAATTGTAGCAGGTGTACCAAGCTTATTCATTTACCTCTACAAATGCTAAGTACACGACATAGAGGGCGCCACTTCCACAAAGTTCTAAGGAAAATTGTACTTTAAGGAGGTGCTTTGTTTTGAATTATTTATTAAAGTACTGAAGAATGTTCGAGCGCTCGCCCGGGACGAGGGGAACATTTAGAAAGTTTTAGCTTGACGATTAGAATAATGAGTGTTTTAAAACTAAAAATATTCATACAAATTGCTGACAAGAAACTTATTCATTTACATTAGAAAGTTTTATTTCAATAATAGTATACTTCGCTTTCATCTACATTTCGTCGTTTCTAAAGAGAGAATTGTAGCACTTAGCTGTCAAGACAAGGAATAAATTAAAGTTTAAACAGAAGAAATAAATTTTAATATTAACACAGAAATCAGCATTTCAAAACAAAATTTTATGAGAATATATTATAAAATAGAAATATCAATTAATTTAACTAACTAATAATGGTAGTACTAACATCTCAAGAAGCTCTCGCTAAACAGTTGGATTAAGGGCCCGATACAAAAGGCAGTTATCCTAGAAACCGCGCGCATCGTGAGAAGGTTCCTGTCTCTGCAGCCCTGACCACTGGTTGTTTGAGTCATGGGATTCCGCAGCCAGTGGTGTTCTCTTTTTAATATATTATGTTTTGTATATTTTTTTTTATATGAAATGTATTATATTAGAAATGTGATAAATAAATGTATATGTTATAATAGTACTATATATTCAAGAAACTAAATAGTAAAATGTTACAAGCAATTTTTAATTTATAACAATTTGCTGATATTGCCTTAGTAACCACATTCGTTGTGCAGCAAATTGCAGTAAGAGAATCACGTCGCAGCACTAGTTTGCAGAATGCTGCTCACGTAACTTTTAAGCAATTTCAACATAAAGCGCCCCCAAAATTCCCCTAGAAATAATACGTGTCAGAGTGTAACTTGTTGAAAATTAATGTAGCTTGATTTTAATATTTTATTATCATTTCAGTCTGTTCAGTCTGTATGTAACTCAGGGTCGTCAAGTTTAACTAACCCTTTATTTAAATATCACGATTACCAGGGTATCATGAGTATAGTAAGGTTGCACCTTCACAAACCAAAGCAAAATGAGCATAACTCGAGCCCTTGTTGTATTCGTTAAGTTAGTTAACAGTAGTCAATTGAAAATAATAAAAATGCATTTAAATATGTCAAAAGATCGTTTAAATTGCTTAAGTAATAGTTTAAGGGCATTAAATAAAAATGGTAACATTTTTTTTATTGCAAAATTAGGTTTCGTTCAGTTAAAGGGTTAATTTGCTCTACTTTGGTACCAGGATCACATAACAATATAGGATATGAGCTCATACCGACAACAATAAAAATAAACAAGTCCCACACTATACCTCCATCTCTTTTTGACATACCGAGATGAATAAAGAAAACTAAAATAGAAAGAGACGAACGATGGTGTGTGAATCGCTATTGGTGACGTGAAAGGTAAAAAAAGCAAAATGAAGGGCATAAATCATGGCCGCTGGAGTATTTGTGGGGGCCGGTTTATGTATAAAGTTTTGATGAAGCCACAGTTTATGGAGGGGAAACTTACTATTGTTTGTGTATTAGCTTTGTTGACCCGCATTCGATAGATCGAACATTTACTTTAATTGTGTTTTTTTGTAACCAGTAAGTGTTTGAAGTAGAGAAAAAAAGTTTATACATCATTGTTCATAGCACCCCTTATACTATTCTTAATTAATAATATAAGCTAAAACTAAAAATAATAACGGGAACATTCTACCATAGAAACGAGAACAAATACTGTGAGAGAGAACCCAATCCGGTAATAATAACGAAGTAACGGCCCGAGCCGAGGTTCCTGAGGGAGCCCTCGAGCTTAGTTACTCTTAAACGAGGTTTAGGCTAAGTGCCATCTGCGCTCGGCCACCTCAAGCCCGGTGAAGCTGTAAATGCCTCCTCAAGGCAAACAGTGGCAGTCACAAAAAAAAAAAAAAAAGCTGTGAGAGAGAGTAAAACAATGTAAAAAAAATTTAATGAATGTTCACAAAGGCGGGCCGCTTAGGAGCGCGGATTATCTCCGCTTTACCCCTTTTTGTATTCAGTACGTAGAAATGATTAATTAATTTGCAATCCGTATGTGAAATACGACTATAAGAGATTTGATTAATTAAACTTTGAGTATAACACAAAGCAATACATACTTATTAATAACCTAGAAAAGGCAAGTAATAAGTAATAGTAAAAACTTGTAAAATTTCCCGCCAATATTTTTTATTCGACCTAAAGTATTTTTAAAGCTTAAACACTACGTTGATGCTAAAATCGACTTATGTTTTCACTGCTGAATCGAAATACAAAGACAGATGAATGAAGTAATTTTAACAGTAATTTTTTAATGTTATGTCACTTCTCAATACACAATTTATTACAATTGTTAAGTCGTTAAATACTAATTTAATTTTTAAAAAAATGGTTTCATCAATTTTTTGTACCTTACTGCTCTTAACCACACTGCCACGCAATTACTTGGTATGGTTGATATTATATTTCGTTATCATTTGCTTAGAAAGCATATACATTGAATGGTATCATGAAAATAGTGTAAAAACTTGTGTTATAATTGTCCCACCTACATTCAAAACTAAAAGTTTAAATTTGATAACGAATCTAGAAGAGTTAAAACATAGTTTAGGTACTGTTTCCTTGAACTCGGGATTACAAAACTTTATCTATAAATGCACTAGAATACTAGGAAAACCTAAATGTTATTTACGTAACAATATATTTTTATCGCGTATCTTACATGGCTATGGCTATCTTTAACAACTCTTTTTTGAGATTAGGCCTATTAAACATTAGGTCTATAAACACTGGACAAGATGAACTAACAGCAACGCTTCTTAACTACTCGCCTGATATCGTAGCCCTCAACGAAACCTGGCTCAAACCGGGTGAGGAGGCTGCGGCACCCGCGATCCCGAGTTACAAATTCTTACACAAGGCAAGGCAAGGGAAAAAAGGTGGAGGTGTGGGCTTCTATGTTCGACAAGGAATCACTTCTAAGGTACAAAAACATCCTACATCTAAACTTGAACAATTCTGGCTTGAAGTTCAATTGCAGGGCTCCAGTTTGGCCGTTGGCACTGCCTATAGACCGGAGTCGGTGGGAGTTCAAGACGCTCTAGACGCCCTCAGTGAGTCTATCAACTCTTTGGCAAGATGTGACCTTACATGTATTTTAGGCGATATTAATATAGACATGGCAAATCCGACAAATCCAAAAGCGCAAGAACTTTTACACTTCTGCCATCAGCATAACCTCGAACAACTAGTTAAGGAACCCACGCGAATCACGCAGCACTCAGGGACCATTCTAGATCTCGTTCTCACTGACAACGCGTCGAAGTGCCGAAATGTGCAAATTATTCATAACTACTGTCTAAGTGATCATGCTTTGGTTATTGTAGACTTTGACATAAGAAAGACCAAGTTTAAAAAAGAAATTAAATATAGGCGCCCATTACTACATATAAATTTTGACTCTTTCAATGCTGATTTAAACCGCTTACCATGGGACTCCATCGGTGACCTGCAAGATGTCAACCAAATGGTCAAAACATTTAATAGTTATATGCTTCTACTGTTTGATATCCACGCTCCAATTCGTAAAATAATCTGCGGGGTTAAGCCGAAGCCGTGGATAACAAATATGATAAGATTCATGATGAGGCTGCGAGACCAAGCATTACAGCGAGCACTAAAAGTGAAAAAAGAGAGCGCCAAAGACTACTATCGTAATCTTAGGAACTTAGTGACCGCCTCGATAAACCGCGAGCGAAGAGCCTATTTTAATAGCTTCATTAACATCAACTTAAAGGACTCGGCTACGCTTTGGAGAAATATTAAAAAAATTACCCAGGTAAACAGCACCAAGACCAGCACGATTCCTGATCATTTAAGGGACCCAGATAAAATTAACGATCATTTCCTTAATCTACCACCTTTTCCTGGGACAATTCTCGACGCAAGAAGTATGAACCTGATTGATGTATCAGAACACGATGAGTTAAACTTAAAGCCAGTCTCAGAGGAGGAAGTAAAAAATACTATCTACAATATAAAAACTAAGGCAGCGGGACACGATGATTTAAGCATCGACATGATAAAGTTGACATTGAAAGTCACACTACCTATAATAACTAAGATGGTGAATAAGTCTATTGAAACCAGCACATTCCCCTCTAGCTGGAAGAAAGCGCTAGTTAAACCTATCCAAAAAAAAAGTACAGTGCTCGAGCTAAAAGATCTACGCCCGATTTCAATTTTACCGGTATTATCGAAAGTACTAGAGAAAGTAGTGCTGGTGCAAGTTCTAAAGTACCTAGAGAACAAGAATATAACGCCAAAGCTTCAATCAGGCTTTCGCAAAGCGCATGGCACTGAAACGGCACTCCTCAAAGTTACAGACGATCTGACGGAGGCATCGGATATGGGGCTTAGCTCCATTATGGTGCTCCTAGACTATTCGCGAGCATTTGACTGTTTGGAGCCTAAATTGCTTCTATCTAAACTGCAGCATTATCGTTTCTCAAAAAACACATGTCAATGGTTTCACTCATTTCTTAACGGCAGAGAACAATCCGTTATAGTTGAAAGCAAAGACGGTCTTAAGAGATCTTCCACTTCTAAATCCATCCTACGCGGTGTACCTCAAGGTTCGCTGTTAAGTCCAACTCTTTTTACAATTTTTACAGCTGATTTACCTACACAAATAAAACACTGCAAGTACCACCTTTACGCTGACGACACTCAACTGTACTACTCCTTCGACAGCAAAAAGACAGAAGAAGCCGCTGCCAAAATCAATGAGGACCTAAGGAACGTTTACTCATGGTCTCAAAAAAATTCTTTACTTCTTAACCCAAATAAGTCTCAGATGGTATTCTTTGGGACCAAAAACCAAATAAAAAAAGCGGAAGACTTAGAAACGCAAATAAACATCAACAATGTACCAATTCATAGAGTGGCATGTGCACGTAATTTGGGTCTAATGATGGACGAGGAACAGAAGTATGCTGAACATATTAGCAACAAAATTAAGGCAGCTTTTTTCAAGTTAAAAACCCTATATAAAATAAAACCATATATAAACGAAGAACTAAGATCACTACTCTGTGAGTCCTTGGTACTGTCTCAACTCAATTACGGCAGCGTAATCTACGGCCCTAGACTCAATAACTCAGCTGTAAGGGCTATACAAAGAGTGCAAAATGCAAGTGTTCGGTTTTGCTACAATGTGCCAAGAAGGGAATATATCACCCCATATCTGAACAGGAAAGGCATACTAAACATGGAAGCAAGAAGAGAGCTGCATTATGCCTGTACTGTACACAAAGTGATCTGGACTAAGAATCCAGAATATTTATTTGAAAAACTTGTTTGGATAAAGGATTTCCCGCACAGAAGCCGCCATGCAACATCGAATTTGTTGAAAATACCTAAACATAAATCGGCAAGATTTCAGGGATGTTTTAAATTTGCTGCAGCAAGAATCTGGAATGATCTCCCTCCCCCCCTTAGGAAGAAAATGAACATCTACAGCTTTAAACTAAAATATAAATTGGCGCTGCTCAAGCGTCAACTTGCTGCAGAAAATATAAAACTTTCCTACTGGAAACACCTTAGTCTGAAAGAGTATTTGTAATTCATAAATAAAGAAAACATCCAGTACATACATATTGTACTAAGCACATAGGTTCGTTAACACAAACACCACTCATTACCACACGCATACATAAACCCAGACTCACATACACTCACACACTAACACACACACACACATAAACACACACACACACACACTCAGGCTCACACACACACGCAGACACATCGGAAAGCTGGTGCTTGCTAAAAGGAAAAAACTATCTACATATAAACAAGAGTAGTAGAGGATCATTATTGGTTGAAATATTATATACTGTTCTTACTTAACAGTTTCATTTTCTTAAATTGTGTGTCTTTTAATTTTCTGTTCGAATATGTTAAACGCATTAAGTATTAAGTAATAATTTGTTAGTTTCTGATTTTTAACTTTATGAATAGTGTACAGCGACCATCTACTATCTATTCCCCCTTTTTCATCTTGGGAAGGGGGGGTGGCTGAAAACCAGCTCGACACTGGAATTTGACCTGTGTTGGCAAAGCTGAGCCACCCCCTTTTGCCAGCACTATCTCTGTATAACAGTGTGTTGTATATTTTTGTTCAGTTTTTTTTAATGGCAATAAAGTTTTTATTATTATTTATTATTATTATTATTAAGTACGTTTTAGCAATGGAAGCTTACGCTAAATCTACGTTTACACGGTGGACGTGGTGACTGACCTGAAGACTGGGTGGGCAGTGATCCAACAGCTCTAGCATGTGCTGGATGTTCTGCGCGTCCTGGATCACGAAGTTCAGCTCCATATCGAACTCCCCGCCCACCAGCTGCAACAAAATACAAACAGATTAATTTTATATATATTTTATATTAAAAACCTTTGTTACGAATCAAGTACTATCTATTCTTATTGAATTTTTTATTTTACAATTTTTTTTTAATATATCAATAATTCCATTCATTGGGCTTATTAAATACAAAACTGATAAATATCCGAAATAAATGTTTAAAGGCAAATTAACAGTTTTTGTTATAAACTTTAAATCACCACAAGACGAAAGATCTTTCGCCATTCCAAAAGAACCTTTTACAAAGTAAAATATTGCCAGTGTCTTGAATGGGCGTCTACACAATAGCGGACTATTCGCGTAGACGTCGTGTTCGACGGACATTCAATTTGCCCGATCGGTCAATCTCTCTGTGGCTCCTGCTACCCTGGTACTCGAGCCTATTGTATTGCAATACTAGCCTTTATTTTTTTTTCATTATTAGGTCCAATCAAATTCTATACAATGCGGAGAAAACAAAATATTGGAACGATCTTTATTCTCAATTGTGTTATTTATTAAAAAAAAATAACAAAAGATAATCATTAAAATTAATCGAGTTTTTTTTATTTTTAACGTGACCTAAATTTAATTTAAAACAAATAAATTTCTATACGATAAGAGGATTAAATAATAATAACACTTTTTTACGAAATGTAAGTAGACATAAAAACTGTGGGTTTCTGAGACCGAAATCGCTGTATTAAACATATCGTCATCCTTGTCGTCAATAACACAGAGATTACAAGTATATTTATTGTCAATAGACATTTTGGTTTCAGAAACTCACCTTTAGTAAAAAACATTCGTTTAGTATGAGAGTAATGGCAAGTGTTGCTATCTCTTTCATCATGGCAACCCTACATTCACCATGGAGTGCTTGAGAAGCCCACGTTGTTTTCTATGAGAACAATAAACTTTTGCACCCCTATGGTGTAAGTGTACTAGGAAACTAGAAACATAAAGGTGGTAGACGAAAGAGGGGTTGAAAAGTTTATGAAGAACTAGTTTGGCATTATATTGCGTTTGATTTGCCGTTTCTTTATAATAAGACATTAATAATATGTGGCAATAGATGAAACTACGTTTCTAATAGTCATGGTAACTCAACAAATTGACGACCTGCAAATATGCTGCAAAGTGGCTTTTGGTAGCACTTTCTGTCGAAAACATCCGCCGAAGGGACTTGCAAATGCAATTATAGCTCAAGCTATGGGGCAGTCGCACCACGTTATTAAATTGGCTGATTAATTTAATAGGAGTATCGGAGAACTTACAACCACTTATGGACGCCTAGTACTATGATACGCTTGTTCTTATGCAATAAACTTAGGAGCCAAAGCGATCCTTTTTGTATGGTGTCCTTTTATTCTTTGGATAGTTAGGAGATATTAAAATGTAATTAAAAAAAACATTAAGAAGTGATAATGCGGTCGAGAGAGTTTTGTTGTTTTCTATTTTAATTAACACATCAAAGTAAGCAAAATACTTCTCGCAAATTGCGTCGTTCAAAATCCTATTGAATGTATAAACGAACCTTTACATTTTTAAACCGCAAACATGGAATATAAAGAAAATGAAATTTGATATTACTTAACTTCCACAAATTGAATTGGGTCCTCCGTGTCTACAAAATGTTTTAAATTAAAATACTCTCGTGCCTTTTTATTAACTTGAAATGAGATGGTTCGTTGGGAATAATAATATAAAATGCGACAAATTACAGGGTTAACCCGGTTGAGGGAGCGCGGTGGAAAATGAGAGAAATTATCAGGAGAATGCGCGCCATTTTGTAGAGCCATACTCTACTAGGCTCGCAGGAATGCCAAGATATGACTTGTTAGCATAGAGACAGATGAAAAACATCGTAAAATAAATTCATTTAGGAGCAGAGTTTCTTAAAGTTACCATATCAGTTAAGAATTGACGCCTATATTTAAGTTTAAATGTATTTAAGGAAGGAGCAATAATAATATGTAGGTACTGTAACTTTTTTGTATCGGATGCATGTAAATGGCCCGCTATCAAATAAAACACCTTTAACCCGCATAAAACAAAGAGAAATGGTGGTATTCGGTCGGAGTGCAAAGAGGCGTGTTCACACGAGCATTAGTTACGCACGTCGACACAAAGTGGCCGTAAAATCGCGCGCAGGCACTTGCCTCTGATGGATCGTCTGGTGTAGACCTAACATTTGCTCTATGTAGAGTCGAAATTGTAACAATTGCGATGCCTAAAAATGTGATTTTGACATATGCAAGCCTCATTTAATTACTTAAAAATCATATAATTAACATCGTGTTTGACACAGAAGAAACAACCCCTTATGTAACAGTTTGTCACGACCCTTTTCAACAATCCAAGAGGGGTTGTTAAATCGTCATGGATCTACTTCAATACTACTCCCTATTAACTCATGCTATCCTAGTATCAGGATTAGATAGATACATTAGAAAACTAAAAGTAAAAAAAAGAAACAGTGACATAATATAATAATAATAGCAAACAGCAAAAAATCAAAATATTTGCTGACTATCTTTGCAAAACCATTTTTTGTTTTCTAAAACGAAAGGAAATAAAAAAAATTGCAAAAATCCCAAGTAACTAAGAATTTGCCATAAAAGTACCAGGCTCACATAGGTCCATGGTGTAAATTTGCAATAAGGGAAGCTGGGGCTCTCCTGCGGTTAGGGGCGGAGTGAATGAGCCGCTATGAAAGGGCCCCGACCCGTCTTGTGCGAACTGAAAAGGGGTTGCTAAATATTTGACGTGTTCGATAAATGGCAACTGTCAGTGCTGTGAAAGGAACTGCTTGTTTCAAAACGTAATACAAATGGTTACGTTCTAAATATTTTTAGCACACGTGAAAATAGCAAAAAGGGATTTTTAGAATTTTGCTTTACACCGATTGTGTATCTGGAATTTCTAAAGAAATAAGGAATGTTTAAGTTATTTTCAATGTTTTATAATCCTTGCAAAGAAGTTTAACAAAGTCTGCCGATAAAACATACTACGTAGGAAAGCGGAATTTAATACAATGAAGCCTTTGCTTATCGGAGAGATTATTAAGGAAAAGTACATAAGAAAAGCGAATTATCCAATATTGTATCGTATACAAAGATTATTTATTATTTTATTCTTGTTTTTTGTAATAACGCTATATTTTAAGCTGATAATCGTTTTTCTTTCTTAAAATTAGACTTTGATTTTTTTAGGTGTAAAATGATATAAAACTATTGTTGTGTTTGACTTTCAAAAGTGTCAATAGTTTATTTTTTCTCTGGAACACGGATGATGGAGATTATCAGTCCAAATTATGCAATAAAAGTACCAGGAATTCATAGCGTGTCAAGAGACTTTTTGCAATGAGGGATGCTGCGGACCCCTGTTGTTAGGGGCGTACGGTACAACGGAGCGGTTTAGTACCGTGCATAATGTCCGGTCATTGTCAACGTAACCGTTGGGTTCCATTGACAAAATACTTGTATATTTATTGTCAGCTGTCTTTATATAATACTATTTAAAAAAGAGATAATTTTTTAATTAAAATATTTGTACGGAGTACAAATACTGTTTAGAAAAAAAGCAATTTACAAGATCTCCAAAATAAATCTAATGACAAAAATCCTATTAAAAGTTAATTCGAAAAGTGAAGGCAATCATCTGTTCAAATCTTTAAGAAATTAATTAATAGAATTATTAGAAGGCAAGACAGTTACATAAATGTCTTAAAACCTATTGTTTGAATTAACAGAGTGATAAAAGATCAATGTCTCCATTGCTTACAATAAAACGTAATATAATCTTATAGAAGTAACGTATGAATAAAATACAAAATCTTTTAGAAACAGATATCTTTTAAAAATATCGCTTTGGCCGCGAGCGCAAATCCTATTTAGGAACGTGAGTCCTGAATAAAGAG